TTTTACTGTGACAAGATTTGCTGTGAGTTCTCACCAGTTCACAATCTACGTTAGTCAACATAAATCGTGTTTATGCTGAAGGGAAAAAAGGGTGCAAGTCAGCTGATATCCTTTCAGAAACCGAATGTTCGTGGTGAACGACTTTCGCCAAGAATAAACGTACATTGTTACTGTTTCGGAACTTAAGAAAGTGAAACCCAGCTAGAAAATAAACTACTCCACGTCTATTATTAGAAATTACCCGGCTTTTTATTATTATTACTATTATTTTTCATTTTTCCCCACCCTTCGGTATCTAAAAAACATTGTCGATTTTTACTTGTAATTTAGTTTTGCGGAAATTTTCCTTTAAAGAGTTTTCATCGGACAAAACGTTTTTCGAGCTATAATGCCTTAGAATCTTATCTTCAGGATGTCAGGAACCGGTTGAACAAAGCAACGATCGGATACGGCTGAATAAGATAAAATGGGAGATTTTAGCAACCAACACCCTCTTGCGCTCTGATGTGTTTCCTCTACTCATCGTCCAAGAAAATCCTTCGAAAAAAAAGCAATGGCTGCAGAAAAATTCGCATCTATTCTAAAGTTAAAAGATTCACGAAGATTGAAAAACCGCACAGTGGCTGAGGCACGCAGGGAATCAGACAAAGCATCTGTACAAAGACAAGTCGAGTGAAGTCGCGCTGAACATTGAGGAACGAGAACTTAACGCAGGACATGAAGTTTTCGACTCGTCGTCCAAGATGGTCGGAGTTTTGTTTAACTAACTTAACTAAGATTTTCAAAAGTTGTTTTTTTCATATATTATTGCCAAGATATTAAAATCATTATTAAAAAAAGGACTCCTGAAAATTTCGGTTTGAAGAAAAGACGCCCCTAGAATTTTCTAATGAAAGTACCGCTACTCCACGCCCTCGAACTTTGGACTGTACTCATGAGGATAATAGTTTCGGATGAGACAAAAAAGCCACCCAAAACTTTCGAAACGACAAAAGTTCCCCTACGACATTCGAACAGATAAATCGTTTTTAGGGCAGCTCAAAATTAATGGAACAGGCTCCTAAAGCATAGAGAAAACCATATTAGATACTTCTGACGTCGAAAACATTCGGTCGTTGCCGGGTGATCCTGGGTGAGCGAAGTAAACTAGAGTTTACCTGTAGCTGTTGCAGGTGAAATCCGTTCCTAGGATTCAACGTAGCTTGATTCACAATTTCCTGCCTTTCCGAACCCTAATTGTTCAGTGGGGTCCAAGGAAATTCTGAACGGAAGGAATTTTATACTCAGCATAGTCAGCTTCACTAGTGCAGTTGAGTGGACAAAACCTGTTTGACGCGTCTTTTACGCAAATTAGTCGGTAGGGCCTAAGAACTGACAGCAGTTACTTCATATTCGTTGGATTTTCTTGAACGTATTATTCAAACGCGCTATCGAAGGTTTATGGGAATTAAGGTTTCGAAAATCGCGGATTGTCGTCCACGCCTTATATATCTCAGGTCTGGACCCGGTTGTTCGAACGCTAGATAATTCATGCACCATCCAGCGAATAAGTATTGTGGTAACCAATTGCTCTATCCACTGGATAGAGATTTATGAAGCGGATAGTGCTATCTACCTGGGGAAGGGGATTTGGGAAGTTTGAGAAGGCAGTAAATAACAACACACCAGACAAAAGCTTACATTTTTACACTGTCCAAAAATGGACAGACCATCATGGCCTGTTTATTAACAACACTCAATTTGTTTACAGACCCGCTATAGCTACACAGTAGCAACTACTGGACTCTTTGCTTCCTTTTAGGAACCGTACACAACAACGTATACTTCTGCATAAATACACCATAACCAGCGATATATTTCTTGTCTGTGAAATCAAAGGCCTTTGGCCATCACGTACTGCATGTGAGGTGTCTGAGTAATAACCTGGTCATTTCCATTATGAAGTCGAATGATGAGCAAAATGTACTCATTGTCTCATGAAACTCTTTTGTTGTTGTCTTTTTGGACAACCGATCATGAAGATGAAACTGGTGAACTCGCCTACTTTGTTCTTTTTTTTGTTTCTTTTTTTGGGAGGGCGGTACGCAGTTTAAAGTCAAACCAACTGAAATATTGAAAAGTTGGTGGGTACGATTAAATTCGAATACACAAGTTTATTTTTCCAAGCAAGGCCTTCGATATCATTAAGTTTATCGCCCGGGTTGACCCCATGAACAGACTGACTGACCATATCCAAGTCGATCCAAGATGGCAAGTCACACATTAGCTCATCACCCGAGAACATATTCCAAATAAACCAGACAGACTTCCTTTGAAAGGCATTGTGAAAGGCAAGGGCCTTTGTTTCTCAGACTCTCACATGTTAATGGATTGAAATGTCTTGTAATCCCTCACAAAACTATATATTTTTTTTCTATTTTTAGCCACTTACATTCCGTCAGACCGAATTTGGCCACGTTTGAGTCTACCCCTAGATTCCAAAAAAGTTTCTGATGAATAGTTTTATTCCCTGCAAGGAGGAAGTAATGAATTAACAAGAAGATATCCAGATATTGACGGTGAGGTAAAGCTGAGCAAGTGATATCTGGATATAATAGGAATCACTCTTTCAAATGTTTCAAAGAGCTTCCCAAATGATCAATAATTCTTGAAGAAATTCAAGGATAAAGTGTGCAAAATTTTTTAAAGAACCAACGGGCTTTTTCGAAAATACCATAACACTCTTTAATCTGCGGGTTTAGCGGCTTGTTTACAGGAGAATCTTGCCTAGAGCCCCCTGTGCTAAGCATAGGGCCCTAGTTTAGAAGCCCACTTATATTTGTTGCAAATTACACCGACCATTGAAGGTAACTTAAATTACGGAAAAAGCTGTGTTCAAGTGAAACCAATACATCAACAAATGTCATTTGCACCCAAACGAGGCTAAGCCTGTATATTAAAGAGTATTATGGTATTTCTTGGAAAGGCCTAAAGGATCTGATAACCGAGTTAATGTCATAGTAACTATTTCCGTTGTGTTCTTTTCAAGAACACTTAGAGAGATTTGGAATCTAGTTTGCGTTAAAAGGCAAACGTCAATTTGTAACATGAAACCAAGTTTTTCCCTCACTTGTCGTTTACTACTTATTATATCTGTACAAAAAAAGTTGGATTACGCCAGTTTTATCCATAAGAATGATTTTGGGCGTCCAGTTTTTATCTAATGTCAACTTACAGATGATGTTTGCCTTAAACGCAATTCTTATTTTCTCTATGAAAGAGTTTGAGAAGAAAATTTCTTAAAACTTTAACTCACACTTAAAATACTAAGTCTATTGTATTTCCTTAAAAGCGTGGCTTTAAGGTATTCTTAGAACCAAAACAATCCACAAATAATGAAAATGAATATACATTTCAAACACACAACTCCTAAATAGAAATTTTTAAAGGAAGTGACATACTGTAGGATTTGAAAAAAAATCTACTCTTCTGACTTTCTGTTAAGAATATCTTGCGTTACGCTATTAAAATATAAAAATTAATAGTTTAACTGATGGAGTTGAAGTCACAAAATTATTGGAAACGTAACTACTTTTTCATGCCATTGCTGACAGTGCCAAGGAAGTTGCCGTGATTATTTTCGTATCTTCTATCCAACCCCAGAGGGCTCGGGCCACTCTTGGAGCATTGAAAAAATATTTGTTAACTCGTTTTCAACGAAATGTGTGATAAACATTTCTACAACAACTCCAAAAGCCCATTTAGGATCCGACAACAACAATAATTTTTTTTTGTTTTATGAACCTTATATCCTTTTTTCTGATGATCGAACAGTTCCTTCAACATTTTGTAGAACAGACGCATGTATAAGGTACAGCATTTCATCTAAATGACAAGTATTAGAGTGCTTTGAAGTGTTGGCTTGCATTGGGACAACGTTGGTGTCAGTGGAATAGTATTCACGTGATAATTGATTCCAACATTTGCTTAACATCTGCTCAACTTTTTAATATTTAACCCACATAAATGGGTCTCAAAATCAATATTTATCAGAAGTTTACACAGAACAAGTTAAATTTTGTGGATTCATATTCAATGCAGGTCTTGTGCTGAATAAGTTATTTTATTATTAAATTTACCCTGTGTATCTCCAAGGAACCAGCCACAAGCCTAAGGATTCAAGGTATCTTATATCAATCAGTTCCATGTTGAAATGAACAACACCTTAATTATCCTTAATTGTCTAATAGTATAGATATAGCTGACCAGGTGAAAAAAGAATTGTGTAGGAATGAACTTAAACCAAACTCATAACTAAATATTATTACCCAGTAGTCTTATACACCTGTGAAAAAAACATAACCAGTTAAGAACACAACTGACTTGAAGCCAATAAAATATAATTGTCACAACTAACCACCTTGAAACTGATTTTACTCTTTCTAGCAATTTAAGAACAAAAATAAATTGATATTGCTGGAAAGCAGCCATTGAAAGTACATGTTAAACATGTTAAACTAAGAAAAATCTGCGCAGAGATTTACATTGGTTCAACAACAAGATCCATCTAATTATGCAAGGTTTAAGTCACCTACATTTATTTATAGTCAAGACTCTTTTACGTGAATAACCACAAGGCCCTTGCTAGTGTCTATTCAATGAAGTGTCTGCAAAATATAAGCTTGTTTGACAGCTGCGAAGGAACATTTGGGAGCTTTGCTGAGTTTTTTCTGCTGTTTAGTACAGTTTTACAGTTTTCTTTAGTTTAACATTTTTAAAAATTTTGGTTAACTGAAGTTACCCTTTGCAGCAGCAACAATAATTATCGTTTTCTACATCAGTTTCCAAATTTAAGAGTTTTCAAAGTGGTCAGTTGATGGTCTAAATAATATTTCATTACAACCCACATTGTAATAATTTCATTGTAGACCTACTTTGTAGGTCTATAATGTAGCTAGCAACCTGACATTTGTTATCCCCCATATACAAAACACCACTGGCCACAAACCTACATGCCCGGCCTAACAGCTGACACGTGCACAGCACTGGATATTAGACTTCTTAGCTTCTAATTTATTTCCATCATCGCCAGCTCCGGCCTTCCTCTTCGGCCTGCTGCCAGATGGGAGTACAGGCTCTGCAGGATTCACCATCTTGGCATTCTTCACCCTCTCATCCTTGATTAATGCATCCACATCTTCGGTGTTATCATCTGTGATTTCACCCTCAACATCCACATCTTCATCCTCATCATCAATGGCAACCTTATCTTTGCTTTCATGCCCAACATTCACTGCACCATTGCACAAAGCATTAACCTGGCCACCTTCCACCTTGATGGCATTGACACTTGAACAATCTACATCAGACTCTTCACCGGAAGTGAAAGATGTCTGCGTTGCCACAGAAATAGGCGAGCATTGAATTTCAGAACTTTTCAAATTTACAGAAGTCTTGGTGGAACTCGCTTCACTTACTACCTGGCATGTCTTGGGAATGACACCATTTTGAGCAGATTTCTGTGCAATTTCTAACTGAATGGTTATTTCCTTTCTAAGCACCAGAAGCTTCTGTTTGATAGTGTTATTGCTGATCTTCAGAAGGTCTCGCTCAGCTTCAAAGTCACGTTCCCGTTTTTTCAACGCCTGAAAAAGAAAACAGACAGCATCATAACCTTTGATAGACAGTAGCTCCTTAAGGCCACATCCACCTTTCATTTTCTGTCACCATCTTTTTCACACAAGTGGTTTGGCCCGGCTGCTAAAATAGGCCATTTCAATAAATTATTGTATTTTCTCGATATCTCTGATTATGAAAGTCTGTACAAGAAGAACTCATTTTTTCAAGAACATCACAACTTTTCAGAAAAAGTGTGGACATCTTGAAAGGTTGTATATAATGGGGTTCCATATGAAAAAACCTAACATCCTCAGAATAAAAATCTCAGGCAATAGGAGTTGGCCTGTATGTCAAAGTGGCTAATGTTATTTGATCTCAGGTCTTAGAGTCATCAACAATAACAATTCTGTGCCACAAAATTTGGAATGTTTTGTAATTTGGTAAAGTTCTTGTTCATCAATTCATGTTTGAAGAAATACAGAAAAAAAATACATCCTGCCAAAAACTGAAGCATTAACCCAACATGGGTTTTACTTGATTAGGGAAAGTTCATTTAATATGACAAGGGGGGGATGAAGATATTGAAACTCGAAGCTTGAAATTTTAGCAGCCCCCCTCACTAGCGGTTCAATTTTTTAGGAGCCCCCTCCTTGGTAGTCGAAAAAATTTCAGAGCCCCCCCCTCCTCCTTCAATTCCTTTGCTCCCCTGAAAAAAGATCGCTAGACTGTATTAAATATATTTACCGTTATTGTCTTCAATGGTTTATACTATGACAAACTTGAGATACAGTTGTGATACAATTTTCATACGCATTTTTGGGATGAACAAGAGTGTAATAATTACTGAGACTACATTTGTTATATCTGTAAACCATGTGATATAGCTGAGTTGCACAGGTCATTAAATTGTTGAGTTGAAAACCATCCGATCTGTATGATGATGTCATGTGTTGGTTTTGAAGTATACAAATTTTCGGAGCCCCCCCTCCTAGCACAACAATTTTTTCAGAGCCCCCCCTTTGGGTGTCTAAAAATTTTTGGAGCCCACCCTCAATATCTTCATCCCCCCCACCCCTTGTCATATTAAATGAACTTTCCCTTACTGGTACTCTTCCATTAGGCTGTCATTAAGTTTTAAAGCAGCCATAGTGAATGTACATTCACCCATAACAACTAGCCCTGTATCAAGTGAGCTTAGCCGTAACAGGTGTGACGACCTTAATGACAGCTCTGCTCTCCCAAGGCTTGGCAATAGTAGGCTGCGGCAAAGTGATAATACAGGTAAGTAAAGCTAGAATTCAAAATCGTGCTACAATCTCTGGCCAGGGATAGAACTGACAATAGTGATAGTTTATGTGTTTTTCATGACCAGTTACTGGTAAATGGAAATTGACTGGAACTTCCTTGATGTTCTTCCTAGAGGAGATTAGCGTTGACTTGTCTTGCATTAATGTTAGGAGAACTTGAGCATAGCAACAAGCTGATGGTTTTTTTTCTAAATCTGCAGGCTAGGTGATCCATGTCTTCAATCCAACTGTGTAGACATCCTTTATCTAGGTAGCCAAACACTGCACAAGATCCCACAGAAAACACCATTTACTTAGAAGGGATGGCATCATTAACATAAATATTGCTGGTCCAGGAGCAGACCCTATGAGGCACTTAATGTTCCAATTACATGTTATGTGTTCAGTAAAGGGTGTGTGTCACTTGTGTGTTCCTGACAACAGTGCACAAAAAAAATAAGTGCTGACTTCCGACCAAAGTTCTCACCCAGGCTATGTCTCCCCTATTGGTGACATAAACCCTGGAATGAACTCTTACCAATTGGGACCAATCAGGTTGATGTGGTATGCTGTTATATCAGCCGACTAAGGATGTACCTTCACTCTGAAATAAGGCTTCATGTATATGTTCAAGCTGATTCGTCTAATAGTTTTATCTCTGTTGTTACATTTAAGGTTATCCGTGTAGTCGTTCACTTGCAGCTATAGAGGTCATGTCTGCTCTCTTGCAGGTTAAATCCTTCTCCCTTCTTTCATGACCTTAATTGTAACGGATCAATTTTTTTTCTGGTGGCACCCATGTAACTGTCTGTGTCTCAATTTCCACTCCTTGAGAAGTTGTTTGTTTCCCATTCATAAAATAGTTTGTGGAAATTCTGGTAGGCAAGTAAGTGAAACACACTGTCCAGGGTTGTTTCAGTGGAAAAGACAGAAGTCCTTAAAGCCAGTCCTGTTTCCTTTGTCCAAAAACCCCATGCAGAATACATCTCCAGAAAAATTCCCACATAAAAACCTATGTTCCATTTCTTCGTACCTCATTCTTGATACCAAATTCACCCTTGCTTTGGCTGTTTGTTATCTAACTTCAACAACAACACTGCAAGTCAAGACCACATACTAGTGAAAGACACCAAAGCCATATGCCTTCAGACTGAGCTTATTAAAATCACAGTGGCACTGCAGGTATGTAAACTGATAGACACCGTTAATAATGAAAAAATGATTTTCTTTGGGAGATTTCTTTGACTTCCCCAATTTTTTAAGTCATTGTTCTGAAAGAAGCATATGTATTAAATCATATAGTCCTGAACAGAATTTTCTGATCTGAAATTTACTTAGGTTAGTAACTAACACTTGCTATTCTTAGATGAATGTGTACTCTCTTCTTAACCTTAAAGCACAGGACTTGCAATTCAGAGGCACTGAGTTCAAGTCTCGCCCTGACTGCTAGCTGGATTTGTTCACACTAGTTCCTGGTTTGCCCCCAGCCAGCTGGGTTTCTAAACCCTTAAGTTATGTTTGCCAAGGGTAAATAATGGAATATTATTAATATTATTCTCCCTCAGAAAACTTTTTTTGTGAATTTTTGCTGCTATGACTCCGAAATAAGACTGAGGCTGCGATAAAAGTCAGAATTGCAACAACTGGATACAAAAGTATGCACAACAGTGGTCAAAAGTGTTGGAACCAGTTTCCAGTGATATTAGTAAAACTAATGACCCTCCCCACCCACCCCAAACAAAGTTGAATTGTCAGCACCATGGGTGGAAATGAGAGTGGGTGAGAGTGGGGGGAGTGGAGGAGGGGGGGGGGGGACAACGGGATGAACCCATTTAACAGATCAATAATTACTTGGAAGGGAATTTTCACACAGTCCCAAGTTCTTTTGTCCCCCATTGTAGGTCAGATAATCAGTGAATACGTGAAGCATAATAAATGAGTCATCTTGGTTTAAAGTTCAGATTTCATTGATAACCTACTTGTCATGTTGCATTACATGCACAGTTGCATTTCCGACAATAATAATTATTTGACTCTGTTATGTCAATTTAGATAATCAAAATCTTATATTCGAAATAAACTGCAACTTATTGTAAAAACTTATTCAACCTAAGCTTATATTAAATGTAATTTTATTTCTGCATAAGCTTTACTCTAGCACATCTCTTTCCTAATGGAACTTACTAGTATCATATTATAGCCTTAATGTAGTCACAAAATTGCACACAGCCTAGGATCTTGTTTTTGGTCAAATTGCACCACCTTGGTTTTTTACTCTTTATATATATATACATACACCATTTATAAGAATTATTAACTGCAATAGCAATCAATTTTACTTGCCAATTACACCATGACAACATCAAAATACTGGTCAGTGATTTGTTGATAATTCTTCTTCATGGCATGTTTAGATGTGATGTGGCTGATGACAAGCCAGATAACAAAAGTAACCTTATCCAGGGAATTAAACTGAACCATTAATGTGTCTTTCAGAAGTTAGAAAAAAAAGTCCAGAGTGTGATGCATGTGATGCTTATGTAAACAAAATCAGCCATTATCACCAGGAATGATAATAAAAACAATATTTGTTATGTAAGAAAAATTCTCTCCTTGTACAAGCCTGAGACAGACAAATGTACTAGTTTTTGTTATTACATTTATAAGCTTGTCCCAGGCTTGTACAAACAGCAAATGTGAAGGAATTTAATAACAGGACGTAAGGAACAGCCTTTCTATCACCAAAAGTTAAATCCACTTCAAAATCGCGAATCTAATTGGCTTCCATGTAAAATGCTATGAAATGGCTCTTGGAGCATCAAATGCGGTTTGTTGAATCAGCATTTCTAACCAAAAGTAAAATGTACAGAACTTTTTAGTCATCGAAAACGGGAGCGTCACAAGGCACGCAAAACCTACTCGACCGTGAAAATCAAAACAGAAAAAAGCAAGCTCGTGACACTCGTAGGACCGGAATTAAAAGCTGACCACAACAAAAGACAGATATTTACCCTAAAGGAAAATGTGGCAATCTATTAGAAAGTAGCATGGTCCAAGGACGCCTTTGCCATTTAAGGTTCAATTGAGTGGGTGTAAAGTTGACCTTGTGATGAATATCTTACCCCCACATAAACATGCAGAGAAAGCAGTTTTTGGTGATCAAAGACAAATACACCAATGTTCGAGAGATTTTTTGGTCCTTAGCTAGCTAGAAACTATCTTTTCCGAGTGGTAAATTTAAGTGTGTTAAAAAATCGAAGCAAAGGCAGAATATTTATCCCATGCGAAATCCAGCTTCAACTTAGAGTTGGTATGCCCGAACTTGTTCACATTCAAAACAATGGCTTTTCATATTCAAATTAACCAAAATAAAGACCGGCCCGACACTTTCCACAAATCCCGTATTTTCACTGTCAACTTCTACGTACACATAGAATCATGCTCACCTGAATGTGTTTCAGAGCACTTCTCAAGATGTTCAAGTTAGAAGTTTTTTTGTCCTCCAAGGAAGGAACTTCTCTCTTCAGGATATCGAAGCATTCTTTTAAGTGTGCGCGTCTGAAAGTGCAAATACAAATAAGCAATTATGAATTCACCGTCCGTTCAACCGCTCGAGCCATCGTAGCTCCCGATCCTATATCCGTACTTTCTGTACATAATTTCTTAGCTCGAGCGAGATCACGATGTCTAACAAACCCTCGCACCCCTAACAACTAAATTTTGAATTTTCTTCGCGAAGGGAAGAATAAAAGACTGAAAGCTAAAGTTTCAAGGCACTCAAAATTTGTGTTGAAGGCGCGGACAAGCTAACAGAACGGCCATGTTCAACAAGGACATGCTTAGCGTGCGCATATCTTTCAGGAGACTTGCTTAACTGAAAATCGATACTAAAAGATTATTAGTCATGCTGACCTGTTCTTTTCTAGCTTGTTGTGTGTTTCTCTCGTCCCTGCCCTGTCCAACAAAACAGATGTCGTGAACAAGTTAGTCTCTGCCCGACAAGAGCAAACAACCGCGCTTAGTCTCTCAATTCCACGAACGACAACATAACTTACCCGCCAGGTCTGCGTCGCCTCTCAAAGGCCTCGCATTCTGAAATCGCACGTCTTCTTTCCGTGTGGACCGAGGAAGAGTGATGAACTGAAAGACGAAAAAAATCGAGGCTAATTTTTGGTGCAACAAATTTCGTGATTTCGACACAACTTCAAAACAGCTAACAGCTCCAAGAGAATATTTGCACATGGCTACTAGATCATACCACGTGCGATCGCCGAATCATCTTTAGAAGTTAGCCTAGACGAGGATTCTAAATACTTAGCAGCTTCTAGCAGCGTGTCCAAACTCATCACGGCAAGAACGAATAATCGGTGATTTTGTCCCTTAAAATTTCAGACCGTGTAGACCGTATCACTCCATGTGCACTCACGACTAACAACAACACGAGCGGACAAAAGATCTCGAAGTGTTGGAACGTAAAATTTGGAGCATTGATTGACAGTTCAATTGAAGTAATCCAATCGGAAGCCTCAACGGCTGACCCACGTGGCCTGGCTTGAAAAGCCATGTGGCTGTGTGCCTCGATCTCATGGCCGAAGTGTACACAAACACACCCAGTTTTATATTGCTCATCGAAGCGTTTGATCCAACCAAGTCCCGTAAAAGAATTTTTAAAAATGGTGAAGATAGTTTAAAATACGACCACAGTTGAGCCTCGAAAATTTGGTAACATTCTGAGGTGGTCGCATTTTCAAGATTTTCAATAAAAGAAAGTAACTCTTACTGGCTATACGTGATCCCTTTACCATGTTTCTCGCAGATCATCAAGTGTTAAAGCTTGTTTCTTTTTTTTTTTTGATTTTCTTTTCTTTTTATTCTAAAAAGAGAATAATAGGCTAGGATAAAGTATCAACTCGCGTTTGTAACTGGCTTAAGTGGACAGCTGTATGCTACAGAGATTATGCGTGATCATTTTCAGCATCAAGTTTAATTCAAAGACCACCCTGACCCTGCCTGTAAGAAACGTAGTCTTTTTTTCAAAAGATGCTGACATCTGATCTGACTCGGAAGCTAAAAGGTGCACATAATATCCCAATTCCTACACCACTAATAACCGCTTTCTTGCCTTTTTTATGAAAAGGACCCCCCCTTTTTCCCCCTTCCCGTTTTCCTCCACCCTCCTTCTCTTTTTGCGCCTGCCACCAAGGTTACATTTTTGTTTAACAGAGAATGCAAATCAAGAAATATCCAAATCCCCTCCTGGTCCAGTCCCCTCCCGTCAAGTCACCCGGACTCAGCCGGCGTGGATCCCAAGCTAATCCAATTTTACAACACAACATGGCGGTCGGCTGAGTGAAGTACATTTTCTCTGCCAGTGAGCTCCGATGTAAGCCAGGAATCGACAGGAATCCTTTCTATATCCTTTCTGGAACAGGTTGATGAATTGGAAGCGTTTACAGCACTGGTTTTGTTGAGGAAAGGTATTTTGAAACTTGTAAAATCTTGATTACGTGTCTTATATAGTTATTACCATAAATGCGTGATCTAAATTTCCATTCACAGCACAGGATAACACCTGCCAATTTCATTTGTTTCTTTTGTTGCAGTTTTCCTTTCAACGTAGGCAGAAAACTTTGAAAATATGATTGAATGCAAGTGTTGCAAGAATTTGTTCGGTTTCGCCGCTTCTCGTCCACCATGTTTTGTATTCACGGTTTGTCTAGCGGCTTTCGGAATTGGTTTGTTTTCACTTGGCTATTTCGTTCAGGTGTATGGCTGGTTTGACGACGTGGGTGACATTCAAAACAAGGTAGCTATTTACTTGAAGTCAGTCATTTTTAGCTTCGTTTTCGTTGGGCGAAAAGTGCTTGTTTTACAATATTATTGTGATCCTTCATTGCATTGTTTTACGTAAATTTGATGCTTTTTCAAAGTTTTCTAATCTTTACTCCCACTTGACATCCGTTTATTTAACAAAATATTTTTTGGTGGAGAACTTTTCAAAGACTTCCTTGTTTCTATTATGCATTTTGTTTCAAAAGGTTTAAAGGATCTGTGAAAGTCTTGGCAAATTAAGACATTATAATGTTATTATATATTATTGTTATTCAAAATTGTCTAGACCTAAGGTTAAACATACAAAACTCTCTAATGCAGATACCACCGCGATGGGTACTTGATGCCTGTCTCAAGGCTGATCTACGTTAGCTATGTTATTACATGATTTATTGCATGAGAGAGCCTCAGTTAGTATCCCGCACAGCTGTTTTTGTCTTTTCATGCAATGCTCTTCCCCAAGAAATGGCTGATGCTCACATTCAAGCCACATTTCTTTCCAATTGTTTTATCAGCCCACTGAAATGATAAATTATTTATCAGAAACTTGAGAATGATACCAGTTTTCGTGCAAAGATGGAGCCCCTGTGATTTCCATTTGTATGGAGGTGTCAGCTGCAGACCAGGGTACTTTTTTCCTTCTAGAAACATTGAATCAAAGATTGAAGTTAATCTGTAGCGCAAATTGAAAGCACACTTGGGACTGAAAGGACTGTAAACAGTACAGTACTTGGTAGAAAATCTGGATCAGTAAATTTTACATTGCCAGGGTTGTCACTAAGATTTCAAGTTGCAGGGTAAATACAACAAGTAGGCAGGGAATCAAACAGCTAGGAATTTCTTTTGGTTCTAGTTTTCTTCTACTTTCCTCTGAAAGTAACGGGGGGCCACATTCATAGTAGCTGGGGAAATCCTAGGGCCCCGCCTCTTAATGACAGCCCTGATTGCTGCAATATTTTTTGGCAAGAAACAGCTGATTGTTATGAGATCACCAGCACTGTCCATCAGGTTCTGTCAGGTATAGAAGCAGATCTGATATATTTCATCACTCATGAATTCATAAAAAAAGATTGGAATTACAAGTAAAGAAAACAAATACACCATGTTAATTGGACATCAAATTCAATTCTTGGCATGGATACTGGTTGTCAATTTGTTGCAATTTCAAGTCTGTTTCATTCATCCTTCAGGACACATGCCGCAAATTATTTTTCATCTTTGGCAATTTTTATGCATCAGGAACACAGCTGGAGGCATGGGTAACAAAATCACTGCAACTCGACACCACACATGACACAATTAAATGCAGGCTATGATTGAACGGCATGTGAGAAAATAATTTGTTGCAAAACAGTTCCTGAAAATGGAACTGTAGCTGTGATTAACTTAAATTGGGAAACAAATGTGGTTTGAATGTGAGTAGCCATTTCTTGGGAACAGTGCAGGAAGACTAGAGCTTGAGTCTGGTTACAATACCAAATCACCTGTGGATATGTTAATTTTTTTTTCTAAGGGGACTTCTATTTTTGTAAGAGTTATTGAGATCTCCTAAGTATGGGTCATGAAACAGGACAGGACTGTGTGACAGATTGCAAAGCATTTTCAACTCTTCAAAACAACACAGGGATACTTTTCAGTTTGGAAGAAGGTTGTTTTTACCTAGAAACGGAGTGATTTCTTCCGATAATTGGAGATAAATCTCGCAGAAGTGATTGGAATTTATGGGTTTAGGTACAGACAAGAGTTTGAGCAATTTTGTCTGCTCTTGCTCAGATGTCAAGAGCCAGAGGAGATGTCAGTACTTGACAAATACTTTTCGGGGTATGGGTATGCTTGGAATTGACTGAGCCATTATGATGACTAGGCAACCAAATCTCTCAAAACAATGAAAACCGTAACAGCCTGCGAGCAAGCTCTCCATTAAAGGGATACCAAGAGAAGTCATGTGCAAATGGCACGCAAAAGGAGATGCAGGAACAAGGTGTGGGGAAAGAAAGTGAGAGCTTGTCGTTTCCTCTCTCCTTCAGAGCTTTGCCACTCACTCACGCGTTTACTTGCCACTCGAAATGGAGAGTTTGCTCCCAGTTCATAACATTTCTTTGTAGTCATGCTTATTTGCTATTCGGTGAGCCAGTTTACGTTTGGAATTCCGAGGAAAAATTCAAGCTATTTACATACTAAGCAACGTCCACTATGGCTGCACATCTCCTTTTTCAACCATTTCAACCAACCCTTAATAACTCACACTGTCTTGTCTGACACGAAAAATCCTGTCACATACTGGTATGTGTAATACGACGACGCCCAAGTGTATGCCCTCTTAGTGTCTTGTTTGACTTTTCTGCCAACCATATAAAATAGTTCTTTAAATTCAGTTTTGGATATTTGTCTTGCCACCAGCTAGAAAAATGACGTGTTTTAAACTCTGCATGCTCTGCAAGGCCCTCAGGTTCTTGCTTTGCAAGGAATAACATATTTATCGTAGTATATTGTTTGTTTTCCAATATATATTGACATTTCTTTTTTTTTGCAGGAGTGGCACTCTTTTCTCAATCACCTGGCCTCCTCTGAGTTTTGCATTTTTGGAAACCAAACCTTAAGAAATGCCACTTCTTTAAACTCAACCAACATGACAGCACCTACCCCTGCTGGTTTTACCACTGTGACCATCCCAGTACTGGATCTGTCTATCACGCCCTCCAAAGGGTTTGGTGGAGTGGTCAACAATGTCACCCACGTAACAGTGGAAATGCCAGCCACAGAACTGGGGCTAACAGGTTTGCAGTACATTCATACTGTAAAGTTTGCAAACTAATCATTTATGTTTGTCTCTATCAATATTATATTCTGCATTTTTCCCAAGATGAGGAAAGTCATCTCTCCTTGCTCTTCACATTTTGGGGATGTTTTGCATGCATCAATCTGCCCTTCAGTGACAGAAAATCCATACTCATGATGTAAAATCTGTCCAGAACATGGTCAGGAGCTCTGGCTGGTTAACATCATAATTATTGTATATTGTCTTTGGTATTAATTGCGAATGTCAGACAAAAGGCAAAAGGCCACACAAAGGTGAAATGTAAACATGATAAAATTAATGTTCTACAAAATATCCACTATTAGTGGAGTATTCAAGACTGCTGCCTATTAAATGGGTGGCCAGTCTCCAGAGGCGCCTACAATTTGCTCGCGGGCAACCAAAATTTCAAACAAGGAGCCCAAACGGGTGACTAAAATTCTCAGGCTAACTTCCAGTGAACGAAGGACATTAAAAATTCCCTGTTCATTCTGCACTTCTGAAACCAAAATGGAAAATGTTCGTCATCGGCCGTAGGCAAAAAAATATTTCCGCCAAAATAAAGGTAAACAGACAATTAAGCACTTGTTTTGAAATTTATCTTGGGAGCCCAAAGGGCTCCCAAAAAAGTTTTGTAGGCAGCAGCCTTCAGTATATAGCATTTAAGTTTTGCTGAGGCCCATTCACAGAAGAACTCAAACCTTTACCATAATAGACCAGGTCAAACTCATGCAAATTTACTTTTGGAACCCCATAACTGCTAGATTTTTAATTATGTGAACATTTAGTTACTTCATCAGTATGGAAATTCTGTCATTGAGGCACCCTCATCTCTCCTGCCAAACATCCTTATAAGTAGCAAGGAGCTAGGAGGGTTGGTGTTTCGTAGGCAAGGGGACAGCTGTTTCTTCTTTCTCACTCCATTTCCCCCCCCCTCCACCCAGCTCTAATGCTCCTTGCACTCACTTTCTGACACTGATTTTTTCTTTCTTAATACCAATTGGCGATGAGAAAATTGAATGGCTGTGAACAGGCCGTGAACAAGGGCTTGATTTCTCTTTCTTCCTCTTCCCATCCACTTGCTCCCATTTTTTATGCCTTTTTACACCCCACACTTTTATAGATGCTGATATTTAAAGAAAGCAACTTCTGTCTGGGTCATCACCCTATAAAGTTGTAAGTGTTTATCTAAAGCTTCAATGAGCCATTTGTAGCTAAACAGTCCTATGGTACAAAATTGCCTTGCTGGAGAGAAAATGACACAGTGGTATGTTCAAGGAGTGAAGCTTTGCGGAGAAATGGTGGTGCAGTGTTGAGAGCACTCACCTCCTACCAATGTGCCCTGGGTTGAAATCCTGGCATCGACGCCATATGTAGGTTAGATTTGTTGTTGCTTCTCTTCATTGCTCAGAGACACTTTTCTCCGGGCACTCTGGTTATCCCCATAATGTTTTGATGGCTCAATTGTCATTAATACCGTGTTTTTTTCCCCTCAAAAATCAACATTTCCATTTCCAGATTCCCGTTTGACCAGGGTTGGGAGACTAAGAACCACTTTGTGCATGTGCTACCTCTACGTCATGATTTATTTATTATTTGTTAATTATTTTTTAAGTTATGTAATTTTGTTGTTTTTCTTGGCCCACTGCATCTCTTGCCCTCCAGCTGGCAAGGTGTCTTGTCCCTCTTGACTGTTTAGCTACAAAGGGCCTATTCATATTATGTTATTGCTTCGTCTTCCAGGGCCCTGGGGTAACTTTATGGTAAACATGACATTAACTCTCAGTCAGCCATGGACCATGGGTAGGTGCATTAAATGTCATTTGTAAATTACTGAAATTTTATTGTGTGGTAAACATCTGTGGTGTGATTAAATAGCACTCATTAACCGAGAGTGAGGTCATTACAGGGAAATCTCAGACCGAGGCCTCGATGTATTAGAGAGGTCAATACTTCAAGGTCGGGGCCTGAGATTTCCCTGTACTGAGCCAAAGGACAAGGTAAATAAGTTATCAATATTTCAGTGTTCTGGCCAGAGCGCGCCATTGTGGGAATCCCGCAAAACATCGAGAGATGGCCGCCACCAAAAGCGTTCAAGGGCCATTATGGCCCTTTCCTTTTTTAATTGCGTGGACTTAAAATGGTCTCTGTTACTTCAACTACAATAATTTTCCAATTAAACAGAATTTTTAATCTAAAGAACAATGACTCCGTACCTTTGTACACAACATGAAAATCAATCGATGAATCTTCTTGAGTTTACCTGATTTACCGTGAGTGGTCTGGAGACCACTAAGCCCCGACTTGGCTTTTGTAATATCTCACAAGATCATGGGTATCCATCATAGTGTCTCGAAAAAGGATGAACCTGACAAACACATCTTCGAGGTCTATCAAAAGGTTTTTCTCAGAAGTAACGAAAAAGTGGATGGAGACGAAGCAGTTCAGAATAAGCGAATGAAAGCAGATCTTGACCGTGAAGTGGAAAATGAGATGAAAAAAATTACTTGCTATTTTTATTGCATACATTCTGATTGTACTGTTTGCTTTATTACCGAAGATTTCCTCTATTGTGTATAAAAAGGGACGCTCCATGTCACCTTCCTTAACTTTCCAACTGCTTCTTCTCTTTTGCATATTAGAGAGATACTGGTACACTGGCCCTTTCTTGAAATATCTGGCCCCCAAAAATGGGTTGTAGGGGCCACTTTGGCCTTCAAGCGCAATTTTCTGGCTGGAACACTGATATTTGGCCTTTTTAGCACTATTATTGTAAAACACCCGGAAATAATTGTGCCAGAGATCATATATGATAATAATGAGTTTACTAAAACAACAAGTGGTCAGCAAATAACTTTAAGAAAACAAGTCACCTCAGTGAGGTGTACCCTTGAACCCATGATACAGTCATGTGACACTGGTCAGTGGATTTTTTTTTGACTCTGTCAATTGACCATAATATGAATGTCCATTAGCAAGTTAAACATAGCTTGTTTATGCCTTGGACACCAAGGTAATAATGTCCGGTGATTACAAGGAAATCTAGCCCAGTCAGCAGCCAATCAGATTGAGGGTGTGTAATATTGTAGCCTGTGTACAGACGTCCCCTCCTCCCTCAGGAAAATATTGGGAGAGGAGACGTCTGTGAATGGCCGACAATAATCGTCTTCCTGTTGCCCCGGAATGTTGGGGACAGCCTCTGATTGGCTGTAATGTTGATGTCATGACGCAAATAATTTCCGGTGTTGTGATTGGTGAATGAAACTCAGAATAGATTCCCCAGGGAAAAGCTCAGCCTTTGTGGACATTCATATTTGTTTACCAGTATTTGTATTTTGGCTCTCTCGAAAAGGCATGAGAAGTTAAGACGACCGATGTTTGCTGCACCGGTTGCAGATGCGTCTGTCTGTACTGGTCGGTATTGCAAATAAAAGAGAAGGCATGCAAAATCCAATGTTAACAGCCAAGGCAGGTCAAGCTTACCCCAAAAAGATTGTATTCATGAATTTATTATTTGAAAAAATGAATCCGTTAGTTGTTTCCTTAACTGGTGTCAAATTTAATTCAGCATTCCTGTATGCATAATGAGCGGTGAATATGTTAAGAGAACTTCTCTGCATTTGGTCAGATTGAAAACCTTTGAATGGGTTAAATGTTTTAGAAGACATTTACATCAAATTCAGGGAAACAGAGCTTGTAGAAATTTAGTAACTAAATCGCGTGTGATTTCACGGCTCATTACGCATGCAAAAATGCGCACAGAGATGAATCTGAAATCTACAACTAACAACGGTTCAACTTAATTTCGAATAATAAATACATTAATGGCTCTTGGGAGGTACGCTTGACCCGGCTTGACTGTAGTCAAAGATCTCATATCTGGATTTTTGGGTGGACATTGCGTGAAGATGTTCGGCTAGCCTGTGCACAGACGCTAGAGCTATTTTTCGACCTACTTGTGCCTTTTCAACTGTCAGCGAAAGAACAAAAAAATAATTTATGCAAATGTATACCGGAACACGATTAACGACGGCAATTCACAGACGTCTCCTCTCCCGATTTTTCCTGAGGGAGTGGGGACGTCTGTACACAGGCTAGTAATATTGTAGACATATAATTCTCATCTTTGCAGATTGCCAGGAAAATATGTGCAAATCAGTTTATGTTGAGACATGCGCGTCAGTGACAGTTCCCAATGACATTGTTCCACAACATCTGATGTAAGTGAAACCCAATCATTGCTTCACATATTAGAGCAAAAATAGATCAAAATATTTGGAGATAGTATATTGCCTAGAGGTTTAGTGCACTGGATTTCGACTTTGTTACCCCAGATTCATTTACTGCTCTGGCCAATAGCTGTGGTTTTTCCTGGTATGGTCCTGAGTCAACTCTTCAGTCCTGCTTGTGGGTAACTGAAAGCATTTTCATTTTTAGGCCATGTTTCATCCAGTTGTTTGCCGCACCATGTTTCCTACTTTGATACCACATACCGTAAAATTGCAGTTTATATATATAAGCCCCGGGCTTATACAACTTCATAAGTGATTTTGGGTGGGCTTATATCTGAAGGGTGGGGGGCTTATAAGCAGAATAAAAAAAAGAAAACATTTCAAAATGAGCCACAGTGGTGTTGATGGAAATACGTTTTTAATTTAATAATTTTTAATGAAGCTTTCAAGCCTCATAAATCGAATGCATTTCAATTTTAGGCACAAAATCAAAAGTTAATAACATGAACATAACCGGAACACGACAAACCAGAAGCTCAGTGTTCACCTTCGCTGTCATTGTCAAAAATTTGTAATGTCTAGTTCATGGCAGCGAGGCTTCCTGCACTTAATTCTCTCAGTTAATTTGACATTGTCCTAGTTTACTTCAGAAAAAGTTATTTTCCATTACTACTGTACTGCAGCAGTGCATTTTTAATTAAACTCCATTTCTGCTTATAAAAGTTGCCTGCTAAAAACTGTTTATTTTATTGTAGGTCTAAAAGCGCTTGCAACATGTCCTCAGAAGATGTTAGCATTGTACAAATGAACAATGTAAAAAGGCATGCAACAACAGTGCATCAGGATGATCAGCAATGTATCAATGGAATCAAAGCTGAAACGACTTTACCACTGAATGATCATAAGTCTCCAACTGGGACTATGTCCTTGGTAAGCTCTCCAAAACGAGGCTGTGCTCTAGTAGCCCCTGGTGGCCCCTGCAGCTTCACTTTTGCTCCCAGGGGACTAGGACTAGAAAATCTTGTTTTTTTATAGAAACAATCTGGTGGGCTCCCTGGATTTTACATGTTCAGAGCATTGGACTCCTTTCAGTTTTTTCTCAGAGCACAGCCCTGCCAAAAGCTGACCTTTAAGTTTGTTTGTATAGCTTTGTGCTTCCACAAAGGAAGCAGGGGGGAAGGGCTGGGATTCTTGTGCAACTAGGTACATTAGGTCACTGTGGCTCCTTTCAGGGGCTAATGTAAGCAATGCCTTACTTATTACAACCCATTTTCTCAGAAATCCACAGTGTGCACATGCAACAATTAAAGAACAAATTAATCCATCATCGCCCCGTTTCCATTGTCGGTCTGGTCTCCCATAAACTCTCCTTGATATAGCATGTGATAATTATATTTTAAAACTGGGCACTTATGAAAAGGTACAGGTTATTTTCTGTGTACCGTCAGATTGCTAATTAATATTTTCCTTCAGGCTGATGCATCAGCTGTAAACTTAAGGCTTCAATATTCCAGTTACTTCTTGTTCGTGTTGGTCATCACCTGTATTCTTTATGGAATGATTAAAGGAAGACCAGGCAAACAGAATTTCAACAAAAAGGTATCAGCACTTTAAATGTAAAACATGAAAATGATAAAATGATATACTACTTACTAGACAAATAAATGGGGATGTTCATGCACGAGGTAGTGTTTTAACAATGAGGAAAATTTAGTGAGGAGTGGCTTATAGCCAGTATTTTTTGTGGGTATTCTGTATTTCCTAAAAGCTCTGATGACAAGTAAAAATCACTGTCTAGTTGTCACGGAAGTGGGATAATAATTTTGTTGGATAATTATTCACCATTGTGTGATAAAAAACAAACTTATGGTAAACTAAATGTCAAGTAAATATGGGTAAATTTAAAAGGTGCCAATCTGAAATAAGGAAACTGAACTTGTAGGAGTCAATCTCTTAGAAGTGTTCATGAGGCGTGTTGATCTCAATCTCTTTGTAAAATCTTAAGTGTCTTAAAATGTTAATGCTTTGTGAGTAATTTGCCAATTATTTTTGCCATTAGTGTGTAAATTGCGTTTTGTGTTGTCTACGTTGAATGACTACAGCCTTATTCATTTATTGTATGATTTTGATTTTAAGTTCAACCGTACATTTGCTGTAAGTCATGTAGGGTTGTGAGAGTGTTTTACGTGACTGTGTACAGTAATGTTAAATTACTGTCAACACTATATATAGCAAAAACGCTGTTGGGGTCAACCTATGCATGGTTCAATTCTACCTGTTATCATCTGCCCCCCTCCAGGCATACCCCTGAGAAACTGCCATTTTTTTTGTTAATTATTGGTGGTCTATTCCTCTTCCCTCAGGGCTCCTTATGAGTTATTGATCACACAGTCATTGTTTTGGGTATAACGTGTAGATGACATCATTGATTTCCATTCAATAGCAAACAAGATGTTTTAAGACGAACTGAAATGTTTTTCTAGAGTTTATTTAACAGGGTATTTATTCATGTGTATTATGGGAGAAACATGAACAGTGTATTTGAAAAAGAAAAGTGAAGAAAGAAACTCTCAAAGCACTTCCTCAAATGAAAGAAGCTTACAACCAGCAGACAGAACAGTAATAGTACATTTATAATGGTGCAATCATAAACCTACCCGCAAAAACATTTTGAGATAGAGGTTATTCTTCTCTGAACCAGTCTGCTACAAATTCTTGAGATTTCCCCTGGGAATAAACAGTCTTGGGGGTCTTCTCCATATGTTCCATCATGTTCACTGAGCAATGAAAAACTTCACAAGAACAACTAGAAGTTATTTTTGATTTGCCCTGCCCTTCCCCCAGCTAGCCTGAATTTCATCCGATTACTGCGAGTCGTTATTACTCCCTCAGTAACGTTTGAATCGACCGGTCGTTAATGCTGTCCAGTGACGTCACTACTCCTTGACCTTCGCTTTAATTCATGCAAAAAGTAAAACACGATTTTCAAGTGGCAAACCGAGAAGTATTGTTTGGAAATGTCTGCATGATACATAACTGCTTTATTTTTTTCGATCATAATTCATGTTTAACTTTTAAACTATAAACTGCATGCAGTACAACTCTGAACCGGTTGTCTGGTTGTACTAAATTCTGTAATCAAACTCGGTCGCAATGACGGAAGGAAATAAACACACACACGGAACACTTAGTTCAAAAACACAATTAAAATTGAAAAGCAGCTATTTGGTCCTTAACGAAGAAAAAAAACAAGGAGACACGAAAGAAAAGCTAACAGAATCATTACACTTGACGGTAAAAATAGCAAGAAGGTCGAATTATAACATTGATCTCAGAAAACTTCGCGTAAACAAAATCATCAGCTGCCGAAACCACAAAGCGGCTCTAAATGCAAAACCTACCGACTCTCCGCAATGATTCTTCATTCGCAGTTCAATTTAGCATTTCAGTTTCGAAGACAAGGCCAATTTTGCTGTTTAAGATAAAGATTAGGCTTATCGAAATGTTTGAACTAAACGAAAGAATGCCAGGGATGCGATCCGCTGAATATTAAGCGACAATCCCGCTAAAATTTTTCATAATTGTACATAATTATGCGAATGTTTAGACAATCAACCAATCAAAATCACTAGCCGGTTTTCGGGTAGTGAGTGACGTCACTGGACGGCATTAACGGCCGGTCGATTCAGACGTTGTTGAGAGGAGAAAACGACTTGAAGCAATTGGATGAATTTTCAATTTCATTCCCCCAGCCCCCTTAACTGGATCACATGTTAGGATTCCCCACCCATGGAACCAAAGGGTTGGACTTGGTGCGGGGTTTGCCTGGGTAGGGAATGGTAGGAGGTACAATATTGAACCATACTTAACATTGGGAGGAGTGTCATTAAGATTTCAAGTTACTGGGTATGTGCAATTAGTAGGTGGGGAATTGACCTTGGGGGAGGGCTCCCATTTGAAAGGGGCGGGAGTGCTTGTCAGAAATTTTGAATTAAAATCCTAAAGGAGACCAATCTGGGCGTGGCCCAACCTATTTTTGACCCCTAAAAGAGACCATTTGAAACTTTGATTACATGAATCGAGTAAATAAAAGGAATTTAAAATATATAATTTTTTAATATTGTTTCATGTGCAACCCTTTTATAAAAGGAGTCCTTTACGGCTAAATATAATCCATGGCGTTTTTCTCAGAACCTCCTAAGTGAGACCAAAATCCGAAATTTACACCCCTAAGCGAGATGACAAGTATCCCCGCCGCTTTCAGATGGGAGTCCCCTCCCCCTGGGGGAATTGAACAGCAAGGAATAACTCCACCTTATGGCTAGAACAGGGCTTGAACTTGTAACCTCAGGTGACCACTTGCTCTTAGCCTGTGAAAAAACTATCTAGCTTTCTCTTTATTCGATACCCAACAAGAGAACCTCAGTGTTAAACTCACTTTGAACTTCTTAAATGGCATTTCGTTTGGTTGTGTGCAGGAACAACCCTGACCCGAGTTGTTGAAAAGGTGGATAATGCTTTCCTCTGGATAACACATTATTAACTGGTTGGTCAGTTGGTGTCTCTAAATACTTATCAACTGGATAGTTATTAATAAATGAGTATCAGGTGGACTGCACTATCCACCTTTTGAACAACTGGTGCGTGAACTGTAAACCTTTGTTGTCCCTTCCTAATACTTTCTGTTTTCTCTTTAATACAGGGAAGCCTTCCCTTGTGATATACATGAAACTGTCATGCAAGGATCGATGAACATCACCTGGCAAAGTTACCTGGTCATATCCATCGCGTAGTTGGTTATTTTCGTTGAAGAAACCCAAAAAGAGTAGAACCTCAGTTGTAAATAACCTTTAAATTATTTTAAGTTTTGAGAAAAATTCATCGGTGCAGTGTTACTTGATTTCCCGAAGTAAATAATCCTTTGCGTATGGGATGCACTCCGGACCCCTTCCATCACATCTCCGTTTATCCCAAGTCTGGTTTTTTGCAAAAGATTACAGTAAGGTTATGTTGTGTTCTGGCCCAGTAAGACTTCAAATTGTAGCCTGCGAGCAAGCTCTCCTATTTGGGTTGGCGAAGTGAGCCTCGCGAGAACGCGCGAGCGAGGGGCCCCTCGCGGCTTCGCCGCTCGCTCGCGCGTTCTCGCGAGACTCGCTTCACTCGCCCAAATAGGAGAGCTTGTTCGCAGGCTATTCAAATTGAGGCGACAGTAACTTGAAGAAAAATCTGCTTTGAAAGAAAACCTTCCTGGTAGTTCATGTCTTTGCCGTTTGACCTCAGATTTTCCAGGCATCCGAGAACTAGAAATATTGAGTTTATTTAACTTACCGGTAAGCCTTGATACATTTGAGAAGATTTCAGAACCTCTTAAGCTGGACTTATTACTTGCTGATATTTGCTAAATAATTTGGGAAGAGAAAAATGAAACACTTCTGAATCTTAAAAGTGTGTTTCATTTCATTCACCTCAAAAAAGGTTTTGTTATATTTATAAGAAGTATCCATTTAGGCCAAATAAGGGAGTGCACCCCCGGGAACGTATAACATCATTTTTTTAAACCTTTTCAACGGCCCTTGCTATTGTAATTAAATTATAGAAAATTCAATAAAGTGGTGTCAACATGAAGGTTTGAGCATTGATACATTTCTAGTTTTCTATTTCGATCACTCAAAACAGTTTTGTGCGGGGAGGCTACGCCCTGAATGTTCTATCGACTTTTTCAAGGCCATAACATGCATCTGCTCACGTTGTGGGTCTGGTTACAGACCGAAATGATAGTTTCCCTACCCTTAAATATGCTCCATAGTAAGTAACTTCGGCACTTGTTTCACTTTCCCCAAAAGGCATCTGCTCGCAGGCTGCTCCTTTTTAGGGCATTATAAGGAGTACCCCCACCCCCCGCAAAGGCAACAATGCACATTTGTCGCACTTTCTGGTTTCTGTTTTTTCCGTCACTGCACGACTGCGACGACGATGGGAAATTTCCAAAAGTGAGGTTTTTTCTGGCTATGTACAGGAAAATTTGAGCGAGTTGAAATAGCCGCGGGACGAGAAATTAAAAAAAAAAACACTCTCGCGCCCTCACGCGGCGCGTTGTCTAGTCTGTGTATCAAGTGTTTCTGGTAGGCTTTTGTACATTATGCTAGCATTTTTTCGAGCATTTTAGTGAGGCAAAAGCATTGAGCATTATTCGAGCATTTTAGTGGCATTTTCCCCGGAAAATTAATTTTTTCCGAGAAAGTAAAACAGAAGTTAACTCTTTCAGGAGCCCATGAACCATGAGCTCCTGCTTTTTTAAAGAAACTCAAAATTCACAAAAACCTAATACAGCTGGTTTTTTTGGCTGTATTTATGAACTTGTACACGTTGTCGTTGTTACTTGCAACACTTGCACGTTTTTGTAAGTGTAAACTTTGAAATTAATTAAAAAACCGTTTGTATAATGAGCATTATCCGAGCATTTTAGTGACTTTTTTGGGGAGACCGAGCATTTTAATGGGAAAAATGGAGCATTAAGGTGGAGCATTTTAGTGGGCAAGCAAAAGCATAATGTACAAAAGCCTAGTTTCTGGGGAAAAAGGGGAAAGATGGAAGCGATCCGCCATCCAAAATCTACTCAGGCTACGCGTTGTCACAGTTTTGTCACCTCGAAGCCAGCGGTATCACAATAAAGCGGTTTCTACGTTAAGGATTCCTAATACAGTTTCTCTTCAAGATGGCGGCTGCCGGAGGGAGTCATCTGACTGCTGGCAGAGTGAATGTTGGATTACTTAGAGAATGTGCGAGAAGGGAGCTTCTTCAGTGCTTGAATAAACAACCTGGATCGAAGGTAACCTATCAATGTTGATTAGCAAATTTCTTTTGAAGCGCAGCGTCCATTTTATACCGGGTCTGGAAGGGGTTTCGCGTGACACTCTAAATTCGAGATTGCTCCGAATCTCTCAATTTAAGAAAAAGTTTTCTTATTTTACGAGAAAAATTTAAAACAAATCGTGGGATAAGAACTCTTTTTCCCTTAATGTAAACAGGCAGTTTGAATTTAAGAGCGCAAAATCATATTTTAATCCTAACTCCTCATCTCTCCTTCCTACCCCTCCCCCTTTAGTGTTTTCCTTGGCTTTTCAAGCTGGCGACCGCAATCAATGTACCGCTGCGTTTCCGTTAAAAAACGGCTGCTCTGGAGGCTAAGCCTTGGCTAAATCTATTTAGTATATACTAAAACAGTGGATAGTGTTTTTTGCGGGCTCTGATTGGCTACTCAATCAGTGAATATCCTGCACTATTCACTGATTCACCTCCAGTTCCTCCAAGCGAGCAACACCAAACTCATGCAAGTTGTGAGCAAAATGCCTTTCCGGTTTGCTGTTGTAACAAACAAAGAAATTTCACAACTAATCAAGCAGGCTGTTCCCGAAATACACGAAGGAGGTGACGAACTTCAGTTTCGAAGTTTTAACATTTAGAGCTTTGTCTTTTTTACTCGAATTTATCGATAAAACCGGTGAAAAAGTTTTTTATTTACAAATGCAAATTAAGCTTAAGTCTTGCGTTATTTTATGTAGTTGACTTGTTCATAGATAAGCTTAAATAATCTTTTACAGAATGAATGTTTAGCAAGAGCTAAACAAATGCCTTCAAAAGTTGTATTTGTCAGCAAGAAAAAGCGGTGGCTGCGGCCGCTCAGTCATTACGCACCAAAATAATTATTGTAATCGTTGGCAACAGTATTTGAGTTAAAAATCCTCATTTTTGTGCTAAATTATCTCACTGTTGTAGCATATACTGAAACAAATTATTATTCACCTCAGTGCCGGTGGCTAGTGGTGGTGTAGGTGAATTTTCCTAGAGTTGATTTCTTGAGGACTGCACTCAAGTTTAGAGAGAGAAAAAGAGATTCATCGTCGCTTGTTTACGTCCTCCATAAAACTTGCAATTAGGCATTTTCACATCGTAGTCGTTCAAGGACGGTAAAGAAATGTACAAGAAAGGGTGATGCACGTGCAAAGTTTTTTTTTTTTGCATAATAAACCTATTGCTTTTTTGACGTCCTCCTTGCCGTCGCGGTTGTCGTTGCTAAAGCTCCCTGTTTTGGCCTGTTGGGAGGGCACTTCTTTGTAATTGGGGGAGGGTGCTTATTCAAGGAAATAATAATACAGTATATGATAGATATTTTAGGATAGATATACTCTATTTTTTTGTCAATGATTGTATACTGAAACGCAATGACACGTTTGTTGTTTTGTAACAGGCTCTTGTCTGGGATGATAAACTCACTGGACCATTTGGATTGATCGCTGAATATAAGTTGCTGAAGGTACAGATACTTGGTCTTCCTTAACTCAAAACTGCCATTTTTTATTACTCAAACGATACATTTTGGGGACACTTTTCAGACAAATAGGATGATGCAAAACAATTCCTGTGCCACAGAGGTCCAAAACAATAAATAAGTTGGTTTATATTACAACATTTTTACCGTTACATGTTTTTCCCTTGGTTCTTTTAAAGCTCAGCACAGGTAAAAATTTGAGCACAGTAAGTTATACAATACCATCATGCCATAACAACATGATTTTGCAAAATGCTGACATGAATTTGAAAATTAATTTTGACCAACTTATACCTGAAATTGTTTTTTTGTACCTTTCACGTTAATAGGCCCTTTTAGAGTTGTGTGCTCTCTGCCTTGGCATTTGAATAGAAGCGAGGCTGGCGGTAACCTTGTTTTGTTACAAACCTTCTTGCTTTTCATGTGCAAATCGTGGTATTCTTATGCTAACAACCCTGTGAACATGATCATTTACTTATGAAAAACAAGAAGGTTTGTAGCAAGACAAGGTCACTGCCAGCCTTGCTTCTATCAAAGGCGAGAGCACTGAGCACACAACCGTAAAATGGTCTACTGGTTGCAATGTTCACCAGTCACTTTCAACTGTGAAATGAACAAACCTCTTTTGAGTTTAGTCATTGTAAAGGAAATAGAAACAACTTGGCTTGAATATATAAAGGGCAAAATTTCGAACTTTTAGAGAAGGTATAAAAAACTTTTTGATGGAACTTTACTTTCTTTTTCTTTATACTTGTAAAAATACTTACTTTTCAACAGCAACACCATGGGATGTCCTCCACAGATGCAGAGTAATAGTAATACCCTGAGTGACAAGCTAAATAATAATAAATAATGATTGTTATTATTATTGTAGCTTGTGAAAGGTTTGAACGCACGAGTCATTTCATAAGTAAGTTGAACATGATTGTCTGGGTGAGCGTAGTCCTGAGTAGGATTGTCGTTGACAGTGACTGACATTTCGATAACATGTGCAGTAGTCATTGTCAGAGTCAAAGTGAGTTTTATCACATCAGTTGATTGACCAATCAGGTCAATAACCAGAGTTTAGCACCATCAACTGACGGAAGACAACACACTTTGACTGGGAAGATAACTACAGCACAGGTTAGTAACAAATACGTCTATTTCACTATCTTGCAGGTAAAACATACTGAATGAACAAGTGATGTGTATACAATCTAAAAAATACAACATAACTAAGCCAGAAGTATACAATTGTACCAGTAATCATGTTTAAGAATATCTAAATTTAAAAAATTTGTTGGCTCTCTTAGTTCTTTCTTAGTTCTTCTTTAGGTTTTCAAAATGCCAGACACTGTCTACAACTTTCTTATTCAGGACTACGCACACCCGGACGATAATACTCCACCTACTTCTTATTGTAACTTGTTAACTTTTTTTCCTGTAAATCTTAGGAACATGAGGTTGAAGTTATGTTTCCCCTTCGTCCTGGTCGGCTTCCTCCATCTCAAGTCCATAATGTTATTTTTATTACAAGACCTAGACCATCACTGATGGATATTATTGCTGAGAATGTCCTCAGGTAAGACTTGCATTTACTTGCAAGTAATCCTTCTGCTACATGCCTTTCTGATAAACATATTATTATTGAAGCTGTTGAAATATTATTTGCGATAGTTAAATTTAACCTCATTTTTGAATGTTTTTTGCTTGACAAGTAACATAATTATTGCTGTTACACTGGTTGTGAAAATTTTACATGGTCTCTTTAAAAATCCAAGATTTTTAAATATGTAAAATTTTACTACTGTGCTGCAATCGCATGTGTGTGAGCTTCTCTTTGTTTTAAACTAGTAATTACTAAAGGTTATGGAGTGCGGGCGACAATGATCGAAGGTCAAAACGCTTTTGCTCCATCATTGTGCTTTGCGGAAGTTTCACGTGACTCTTGTCAAAACACGTGTGATCAGATTACGAGTGATAGGAAGTCCAAATGCGCATGATCAAATTGTGTTCTGTGCATTCCATTCACTCTCAGTGGAAGTCCAAACAAATGCTTGCTACATATATGTGGCGCATGCGTAATAAAAACCTGAAGATTGCCCGCAAAAACAGTAATAATGATTATTATTGTTTTTGTAAAATCCTGTCTTGTGCATGTACAAAATGTTTGTTAACAACCGCTCCCTATTAAAACTTTTGAGGGCAGATTTTCTCTTGACTGATAGCACCCTTTTTTGGATATTCTGTAGAACCCCAGTAACTCAAATTCTGAGGTAAACGAAAAACAGTTTGAGGTAGTGCGGGTTCGAGCTACGGGGCTCGATTGCAAAATTCAAATTTCAGTGATAAAAATTAACTTATTTTATCAGAAACGGTAACATGATTATGCATTTTTATGATACATTGTGATCTGTTCGTTACACCAATTAAAATCAAATTGCTGTAAGTGTTAACCAGTGTTAGATTTAGTGTTTTTACTGATTTAATATACAAAAAGAAGAGCTACATGTAATGGTGGCATCTGAGTACAGTTACAAGAACAAGAATTTGAGTTATCGGGATAATTTTCTGTGACTTTTTGATCAAGGGAACGGAAATTTAATTTGAGTTAGCAGGAAATTCAAGTTATCCGAGTTCAAGTTAACCAAGTAAAAATGACTGAAAAGTGGGGTGAAATCCAAGGGAAATTGGACTTAGTTTGAGTTAGCAGTGATTTCGAGTTATCGGAGTCCTCCTGTAACTTGATAATTTTCTTCTTGCATAGGTTTTTGTCTTACAATCAGAGATGCCAACCTCTTCAGATTAGAAATCTGCAGACTTTTTCTTCATGTTAACTATTGCTTTCCTACCTCCTTCATCAACCACTCCCATGTCTGGGATAATCTTACCCACTCTGATGGAAAGTCACACACAATTTGACCCAGACACAAATTTATTTTTATGGTGGGCTTAAATTGATTGCCGTTTGCCAATTTTTATTTAGAACTGAAGACTGAAAGACTGAAAGAGTTGGCATATATGATATCTGTTTTTAAAGTTTCCTTCATGTGAAAAACCATATTATCAACATTACAGAGGGTGAAAGAACCCTGCCTCTGGAGGAGTTACAAGCCTGTACAAAATTATGGTTATTTCTGAATATTTTTCAATAACTTATAAAAACAAAAATAAAGAGAGTTTAATGGAAATATCCTTTTAGTTTTACGATTAACTCATATTGTTTTGTTTCAAATCCTTTTTATTCTCAGTGAGGAAGGGAGGGAAAGCAAGAAAAAGGAGTTCACTATTCTGTTTGTTCCAAGAAAAACATTGCTATGTGAACGAAAACTCGTAGTAAGTTTGTGTGATTATGTGCATGTTTATATTGATGGAATTTGTTACTTTCACATCACTGGCTGCTCAACTTGATAATAATTTGTATTTCTTTACAGGAGCTCAATGTGTCTTTCATTAATGTTGACGAATATCCCTTGGAATTAATACCTCTTGACAGTGATGTTTTGTCACTTGAAATGGAATCAAGCTTCAAGGTACATGATTGATAGTTGTTATCTAACCTGTATTGGGTTGATGTAGCAATAAAGATGCAATGCTTTGACAGTGGTCGCACATATCTACTTAAAATGGCTGAAGAGAATTTTTTTTGCAAATTATTTCTGAGTTACAATACTAGCAGTTCTATGTTGCCAATAAGTGTCCTGGGAGAACGGAGACCAGGTATTGCATCAAGATGGAGAAAGGTTTAAAAAGAGAAATATGCTAAACCACATGTTTGGCCCAAAAATGGTCATTGTCCTCTATGGAAGGTTTCACTATAATGCTAAAAATGACTGGGAAAATTTTGGTACCTTGCATTGTTGCTTACATGTGAGAGGGGTAGTTGTGCATGGAAGTTTGATTGTATTGTGTTTAAAATGTAATCACCATGTAGGTATGTTGACAGAGTGCAACTTATCTTGCTTAAGCCCTTATTTGTAAATGGTTGTACCTGTAGTATTCTATGCCTCATCGATCTCATTTTAGCCTCAGTGGCCCTTTCTCCATGTGCCCTCCCTCCCCTCTCCTCTTTTGATGCCTGCCGTGCAGGCTAATTAATCTCGAGTAAGTAGAAATTATCTTGATTTTTGCATGTGCACATGAAGGGATTTGACAGAATCCATCAGGAAATTGGGTAATTTTAATTTTCAGTAGACAAAAACCTCGTACCAGAATAATTTAATCCATATTACATTTTTTTTTTCAGGCTTTTCTGGTACAGGGTTTTTGTTCACTGAAAATTTAAATTACTTAATTTCCTCAAGGATTCCGTCTTACACAGCAACTGATCATTTATGAGTTATCACTATCGTGCATATATGTGGATTGTTTGTCGTTATTTTTTGTGTGAATTGTAGGAGTGCTATTTGGAAGATGACTACACTTCATTGTTCTATATTGCTAACTCATTAATGACCCTTCAAACATTGTATGGCACCATTCCCAAGATTTTTGCCAAAGGAGAAATGTCAAAGGTGGGTACTAGATTACACTGGTTGAAAAGAGACAGTGGACGAATAGATAGTGCTTTAACGCTTTAAGCTCCAATATCCACATACAAATTCTCCAAACTGATCTCCATACATTTCCTTAAAGAATTAGTTGAGAGAATTTGATGATAGATCAAGGCATTTTCTCTTGGGTGATCATTTTATTACTTCTCATAACTTATTTCTTGACAGTGTATGGATATTGTTAGGAGAAAATTGATCTTGGTCACTATTGGGAATTAAAGAGTAAAATGGTAACGTTTGAATCTATTTGCGGCGGGTACTTTACTGTAACCTTTCTCCTCTAGACCAACTAACTGTGAGACAATTTGTCTCTTGAACTTTTTAAACGGTGGATGAAATCCTGTGGTGTTACCATTCAAATGAAAACCTCTTTGGAGAACTTTTGGATACAGCTATTAGAATCTTAAGATATTACAAAAGTAAATTTGGATTTTTTAATTTCCGCTTTATCTACTATAACTGAAGAGTGAAAGGGTTTAAAGTACATTGAAATTATGCATCTTTGTAATTTAACATTTTTTCGTTTCGCCATGGGTTCTTTTAAACTGAAATCTGTTTGTGAAAAGCTTGGAAGAACGCCTAGACCAAATTTTGCTCAGCATTCTCAGGCGCGGATCCACACCGGTTTCCACTGTTTTATGTCAAAGATGACACCGCTTTAAGTTACTATTTCGTTTTCATGTGGACGGGTAAAAGCGATTAAAAAACGCCACGCGTGGAAGCGACCTTTTTCGAAAAAGGAAGAAAAAATCTCCATTTTCACACAGAAACGGATATGTGTTGACAGGGGTTACATGTCAAACGTCCTTTGAACCTGTCTGGTCATTTTTTCTACAAATCAGCTAATGAGGAAGTGTTTATCATTAACGGGCTGACAGATGAAGAAAAATTTGAATCGCTGTCCTAACACACCATCGACCCAATCTCACAATCAACTTCAAATGGGAGTCTGGTTTAAAGCATTGCTTATTTCCGTTCTTTTTCTGGAAATATCTAGGCAAATTTCATTCAATCAAAAAATGACTGTTAGATTCTGATTGGAGTCCTTGGTTCAATAATTTGGAGAATTTTTGCACGATATTTTTCGAAAGTTTTAATCGTTTAAAAATTGGGGGTATTAAAATTTTTGGAAAATTGGAAAATATTAGATTTAGGGGTTATTAAAAGTTAAAACACAAAGTGAATAATTCCTAGTCAAATACCAGATAGCTCACCACCACAACAGGTGCCTCTGATCGCATTGGGGGACTAACTGGTTTATGTGTATACCTTTTCTACCCTAATTTATTTCCTTCCCAAATCAACATCATTCCCCCCAAACACAACCAGAATGCCCCCAAAAATCCTTTCTAATGTCATGCCATTCTCTGAATCTTAACAGCGCATCTTGGATATGATGATACGCAAGAAACGAGAAGCAGCGGATTCGGAAAATCAAGTGTCGCCGCAGATAGACTCGCTTCTGTTGATCGACCGTGAAGTGGACTTGTTAACTCCTTTATTCACTCAGCTCACATATGAAGGACTGATTGACGAGTTATATGGAATACAAAACAGTAAGTCTGATTACGTGCAAGAAACGTCAAAGTTTTGCCCTACAAATAGTCAGCATACAAAGGAGTGATAGAACCCATGTGAGGCTGACCACTATCAAAAAGAATTTCGACACATGAATACAAATTCATTAAGGGAGTAAGAGAGTAAAGGATTTCCCGCCTTCAAGAGATTATCGAGTAGACAAAAAGTCCCTTTAATAATTGCTATACTTGAGGCACCACGAGTTCACAGGTGGTAACGATTTCCAGGTATCAACAGTCTTGTTAAAAAAAGACTACGTAAAAAGTATCAGCCCCAGCAAAATCCCTCCAAAATGCAAATTCATCCCTATCAGTCAGAGAGCTACTTTTTTAGAATGTTTAATAATGATATGTCTGTAATTGTAACTACTGTACTTTCTAGCAACCGCCAAGTTTCCACAGGACAGATTTCCTCAAAATGAAGAGAAGGGTCCAGGTGGAGTACAACAGCCACAGCAACCAGCGGGACCAAAGAAAGTTGTCCTGAACTCAAGTGATGAATTATTTGACGACATCCGCGACTTAAACTTCTCTGCAGTGGGAATTCACCTAAGTAGGAGAGCCAAGCAAATAAGTGCTGCGTTTGAGGTCAGAATCCTAATGTATCACTACTGTTATTACGCACGTATTAAGTTCCTAAACAGGGAGGAGTCCTCGAAAGAAAACTGGGGAAGAGTAAAATTGTAGATATCTCCAGCTTTATTTGGAAATCCAGCAATCAACCGCAAGAAAAGAGCAAGTGGAATGTTTGACTGCTAACTGTTATGAGCCTTCCGCACCTGTTCGATCATATGTTAGACTTAAGCTTCCAAACATCCTAATGACCTCCAAGTATCCATACTTTTGTATCATAATTAAGGGTTTTCCTTCCTCTTCGATCTTGTATTAAACTAAATTTTGAAAGTGAAGGAACTTAATGGGCAAAAAAGAATGCATAGGAGCTGCGGTGTCATAATAATATTCTCAACTCTCCCCTAGTAAGACAGATGCCATTCTTTTTAGGGTAGACCCTTTCTGAAGCTTTCAGCCTGATCTAAGATACGTTTGCTGTTTCAAAAGCATTTCTTACGATCAAAGAAGAAATCACGGTAATGAGGAAAACCTGTTAGTTGCGAAAACAAAAGCATTTCTTACGACAGAAATTCCAAACTGATGACGTAAAATCTGTCCGAAATCCGGGAAGAAGCACTGATTGGTGGACGGAGTAGTTACATTGTTTTAGCTATTGTTTACGAACGACGGACAAAAGACAAAAGGGCACAAAGGTCAAATGTAAACGCGAAGAATCTCTAACAAAACAGGCAATATTTCTGGAATATAGTCTTCTCTAGAAGAAGCGTTTCAGTTTTGCTGGAGCTCGTTGGCAGATGAACACAACACTTCACTAAAATCAACCAGAAGACATGCAAAATTGGACAAATTTATATTTGGAACCCCATGACTACCGGATTCATTATGTAAACATTGATTTACGTCATCAGTATGGAATTTCTGTTGCTGAGTCACAGACGTTCCTCCGCGCGAAACGTCCCCAGCGGCGAAGAAGAAAACGGAAGAAATGGATGTTTTCGCAGGCTAAAAACCTGTGTGAGCATCTTCTTTCACATGCCGCTCGCATGTGACTTCTCGCCAAGAAAGAAAAAAAAAAGCTTCATGTTGCTGGAAAGCACAGTTGTTAGAATAAAATTATAGACATATGGCGTATGGCTTCTCGCAGATGGAGAGGTTGCTTAGGCTAGGATGAGGTCTTGTTAGAGGTTATTGACTATAACGTGAAAGGCAAACATGCAAACTAGCACTGGTGTTTCACAATTTTGTCACTAGTTTTTCTCCTCTTTTTCAAGTATTTGAATATCAATAAGTTTCCACGTGGCCAAATTTTCTCTTTCTTTCACTTGATCTTCAGTTCTGTTTGATATGCTATATATTTTTCTTTTACAGGAACACAAGAGTGCTAAAACAGTTGGTGAAATGAAGCAGTATGTTCAAAGGATTCCATTCATGCAAAGAGCAAAATCGTCTCTTGCCACACGTAAGGAGTTCAAGAGGATGACGCTCGCTTTTCTGTTTATCTCTTTCACTTCTAGGGACACTCCATTTTTATCAAAGCACTACATCACATATTTTGAAGACCATTCATATTCAGTGAAATCTCAAAGAAAAAGAACAAAAACATCTGCATCTGATTTTGTATTATTGCAATGAATGGCACAGCTTTTTCCTCCTTTTAGTTGTGTAGTTTGAATTAGTAGCGACGATTTCCCTGTGCAAGCTAGAAGGTTTAAACTGCGTAAATTGCATAACTGAAAGACTAGTTTTACGTCCCGGCAGTATGCGAAAGCTGCCGGAAAAAGAGTCCATCATTCCCCCTTTAAGGGTGGGTTTCCACTTTTGCGTAATTTTTATGTGCCTTCGCATAAATGAAATAGAGGCAATGTTTAAAAACCGGGCGTAAATGTGAAAGTTGGGCGAGGTTCAACTTTTACGTGTACGCGTGACCTTCCATACATTGTCTCTATTTTATTTATGTGCGTACGCACGTGAAAATTACTTGACGTGACGGTGGAAATCCACCTTAAGTCTCGCCTTGAACGACTAGTTCGCCTTGAAATACTTTTATGCTTACTTGAAGCATTTTTTTTTTCAGTTCTGTTCGCACATTTGATTATATCTATATAGATACTTGCGCGTTATAAATTTTTTAATTGTTGTTACATGTATATTATTATTGCTCGTTCCCTCTACCTTCCACACCATAAATACTGATGAGGGTAAATAAAGGAATTGTTTATTCATTTTATTCACTATCTGTTTCAGATACGACGATAGCTGAGATGATAAAAGAAGAAACTGACGCTGAAGAGTTCAGAGAACGAATTCAAGTTGAACAAGGTGGTTTCATTGTTTTCTATCATCTCAGTGAGACAAAGTCCTGACTGAAAGGGACGATAGTAACCGCTTCTCTCTTTGTCGATGCTGTTGTCGATCTATAACTACTCTCTACCGTGTAAATATGTGATGATGATTATTGTAGTAATATAGCTAAGACTTTTACGTCTCTGGACGAAAGCCTTAAGTATGACCATTCAGACTTCAAGCTCCATTTGCTTCAACCAATCAGAAGCACTACCTAGATAGTGCGTCATCAGTATGGAATTTCTGCGTTCGTTTCTCAGACGTTATTTTGTGGGGAAACCAGTGGTGGAGTCGCGAAAGTCGGCTGTTTTCTCAGGCCATGTGGATGTAAGTGTAGCTAACCAGTACTTTAAGATGGATAAATCGGTGAATTACAGCTAAAAAGACAGACAGACAGACTGACTGACTAAGGGGCCATTTTACCTCCCAAGAGAAACTGAAGACAATGCTTATGCAAAATTTTGGGGTGACCAACAAATAGCATTATGGTATGTTATGGTATTTCTGGAGTGATCAATTTTGATTTTGTATTTAATAGAAACTGTCTCTGGTTTTTCTTTATCTCTAGAACTGGCTCAAGGCCTTGATACAGACAAAATCAACCCTTATATCGAAAAGTGTTTTGGAATAAAGAAAGATCTTATAACGGTGAGAAAATAGACATTTCTTCACTACATCTCTTCAACATTTACGACACTTAGGCGTTTACTTTTGCTAACGCTTGCGTGTTTTGTTTGTTTGTTTGTCTGTTTGTTTTTTTTGCAGGTTCTCCGTCTACTGTGTATTCAGTGTTTAACCAATAATGGGTTCAAGCCTAAGATGCTAGAGTTCTACTTCCGTGAAATTCTTCAAGTAGGTGTTGTTATCATGTGCTAAATGCAACAAACTGAACAAAGACCAAACATATCAATATTACTTTGCGATTTTTCAGACATATGGCTTTGAGCACGTGTACAGGACACTTTCTCCGCTGGAAAATGCTGGCCTTCTGAGACCGCAGACCGCACGGTCCTATAATATCTTACGCAAGTCACTAAAGCTTGTAGTGGAAGACGTACAGGAACAGGTAAAAAGAAAATGATGCATTGCGCATGTCAGATAGGTAGATAGTCATCGTCATAAATATAGTAAACCCCTGCAACTAAGAACCTGCTTTTTAAGAACCTGTTAGTCTAAAATTTGCTCGTTAGGTGCCCTCTGTGTAAGAACTTGTTTAGGTTATGAGTCTCCCAGGTGGGGGAACATAAATTACTAGGGATACGTGTTTCCCAGAAGGGGAAACACATATCACTAGGGATATGTGTTCGCCAGGTACGAGAACACATATCACTAGGGATATGTGTTCCCGGCTGGGAAAAAACATCTTACAAGGGATATCAGTTTTCCAGGTCGAGGAACACAAATCACTAAGGGTATGTGTTTCCCAGGTAGAGGAACACATATCACTAGGGATACATGTTTCCCAGGTAAGGAAACATATCACTAGGGAAATGTGTTTGCCAGGTAGGGGAACACATATTACTAGGCATATGTGTTTCCCAGGTAGGGGAACATATATTACTAGGGATTCGTGTTTCTCAAGTGGGGGAACACATATCACTAGGGATATGTGTTTCCCAGGTAGGGGAACACATATCACTAGGGATATCTGTTTCCCACGTAGGGGAACATATATTACTAGGAATTCGTGTTTCCCAAGTGGGGGAACACATATCACTAAGGCTATGTGTTTCCCAGGTGGGGGAACACATATCACTACGGATATGTGTTTCCCAGGAAGGGCAACACATATCACTAGGGGTATGTCTTTCCCACGTGGGGGAACACATATCACTAGGGATATGTGTTTCCCAGGTAGGGGAACACATATCACTAGGGATATGTGTTTGCCAGGTGGGGGAACGCATATCACTAGGGCTATGTGTTTCCCAGGTAGGGGAACACACAGGCATATCACTAGGGCTATCTGTTTCCCAGGTGGGGGAACACATATGGGATATGTGTTTCCCAGGTGGGGGAACACATATCACTAGGGATATGTGTTTCCCAGGTAGCGGAACACATATCACTAGGGCTATGTGTTTCCCAGATGGGGGAACACATATCACTAGGGATATGTGTTTCCCAGGTGGGGGAACACATATCACTAGGGATATGTGTTTCCCAGGTGGGGGAATACATATCACTAGGGATATGTGTTTCCCAGGTAGGGGAACACATATCACTAGGGATATGTGTTTCCAAGGTGGGGGAACACATATCACTAGGGATATGTGTTTCCCAGGTGGGGGAACACATATCACTAGGGATATGTGTTTCCCAGGTGGGGGAACACATATCACTAGGGATATGTGTTTCCCAGGTAGGGGAACACATATCACTAGGGATATGTGTTTCCCAGGTAGGGGAACACATATCACTAGGGATATGTGTTTCCCAGGTGGGGGAACACATATCACTAGGGATATGTGTTTCCCAGGTAGGGGAACACATATCACTAGGGATATGTGTTTCCCAGGTGGGGGAACACATATCACTAGGGATATGTGTTTCCCAGGTAGGGGAACACATATCACTAGGGATATGTGTTTCCCAGGTAGGTGAACACATATCACTAGGGCTATGTGTTTCCCAGGTGGGGGAACAAAATCAATAGGGATATGTGTTTCCCAGGTACGGGAACACATATCGCTAGGGCTATGTGTTTCCCAGGTGGGGGAACATATCACTAGGGATATGTGTTTCCCAGGTGGGGGAACACATATCACTAGGGATATGTGTTTCCCAGGTGGGGGAACACATATCACTAGGGATACGTGATTCCCAGGTAGGGGAACACATATCACTAGGGCTATGTGTTTCCCAGATGGGGGAACACATATCACTAGCGATATGTGTTTCCCAGGTAAGGGAATGCATGTCACTAGGGCTATGTGTTTCCCAGGTGGGGAACACATATCACTAGGGATATGTGTTTCCCAGGTGGGGGAACACATATCACTAGGGCTATGTGTTTCCCAGCTGGGGGAACACATATCACTAGGGATACATGTTTCCCAGGTAGGGGAACACATATCACTAGGGATATGTGTTTCCCAGGTGGGGGAACACATATCACTAGAGATATGTGTTTCCCAGGTGGGGGAACACATATCACTAGGGATATGTGTTTCCCAGGTGGGGGAACACATATTACTAGGGATATGTGTTTCCCAGGTAGGGGAACACATATCACTAGGGCTACTTTTTTCCCATGTGGGGGAACACATATCACTAGGGCTATGTGTTTCCCAGATGGGTGATCACATATTACTAGCGATATGTGTTTTCCAGGTAAGGGAACACATATCACTAGGGCTATGTTTTTCCCAGATGGGGGAACACATATCACTAGGGATATGTGTTTCCCAGGTAGGGTAACACATATCACTAGGGCTATGTGTTTCCCAGGTCGGAGAACACATATTACTAGGGATATGTGTTTCCCAGATGGGGGAACACATATCACTGAGGATATGTGTTTTCCAGGGATATGTGTTTGCCAGTTAGGGGAACACATATTACTAGGGCTATGTGTTTCCCAGGTGGGGGAACACATATCACTAGGGATATGTGTTTCCGAGGTGGGGGAACGCATATCACTTGGGATATGTGTTTCCTAGGTAGGGGACACATATCACTAGGGATATGTGTTTACTAGGTGGGTTAACACATATCACTAGGGATGTGTGTTTCCCAGGTAGGGGAACACATATCACTAAGGCTATGTGTTTCTTAGGTGGGGGAACACATATCACAAGCAATATGTGTTTACCTGGGAAACACATATTACTAGGGGTATGTGTTTCCCAGGTGGGGGAACATATATCACTAGGGATACTTGTTTTCTAGGTGGGGGGACACATACTAGGGATATGCGTTTCCTTGGTAGGGAAACAGATATCACTAGGGATATGTGTTTCCCAGGTAGGGGAACACATATCATTAGGGATACGTTTTTCCCAGGTGGGTGAACACATATCACTAGGGATATGTGTTTCCCAGGTGGGGGAAATATATATTACTAGAGATATGTGTTTTCCAGGTAGGGGAACCTATATCATTAGGGATATGTGTTTGTTAGGTGGTGGAACATATATCACTAGGGATACGTGTTTCCCAGGGGGGGAGGGGGGACACATATAACTAGGCATATGCGTTTCCCTGGTAGGGAAACACATATCACTAGGGATATTTGTTTCCCAGATGGGGGAACACATATCACTAGGGATATGTGTTTCCCAGGTGGGGGAACGCATATTACTAGGGATATGTGTTTCCCAGGTAGGGGTACACGTATCACTAGGGATACGTGTTTCCCGGGTGGGGGAACAGATATCACTAGAGATATATGTTTCTCAGGTAAGGGAGCATAAATCACTAGGGATACTTGTTTTTTGGGTTGGGTAAGACATATCCCTAGGGATATTTGTTTCCTAGGTGGGGGAACACATATTACTAGGGATATGTTTTTTCCAGGTAGGGGAACATATATTACTAGGGGTACGTGTTTCTCAAGTGGGGGAACACATGTCACTAGGGATATGTGTTTCTAAGGTAGGGGAACAAATGTTAGTAGAGATATGTGTTTCCCAGGTTGCAGGCGGGAAAAACCTTAATGTAGCCGGTGATAGTCCCGGTTGCCAGCGCATTTTGACAAGCCTGGTAATGGTATGCTTTTTTTATATGAGGAATAAGCTGAACCACTAGATACTCTTATCTTTGTTTTATGTTTTTTGGTTCAGAGAATAAGAACCTATTTAAGAACCTAAACTAAAGTACCATTTATATAAGAAGCTCTTTAGGCTACTTTGGTAAAATCCAGGTCCTTAGTCGCGGTTTTTGCTGTAGATGTGGCAGTCCAAGTAAACTATGATAAAAACTGCAGTCTTTTTCAAACATTGGAGGGCGCGGGTTATGTTGTAATAACTATTACAACATAACCCGCGTGAAAAGTTAAGCACGGGTTTTTATTGGCCAATTTCCTAATCACTATTTGTTTATAAAAGATCGCTGAGAGTGCGTTCTGTTGTCCCTGAAAAGATACGCGCGGTTACTCGTAGCCTAAAGTAGGAAAGTATTAGTAAAGATCTTTTCAACTTTCTGCTCACAACCAAGTCATAGTTTTCCAAATTCCGTGACCATATCTTGTTTGTTTCCGTACAGAATCCAAATGACATTGCCTACGTGTTTTCAGGATATGCACCCCTGACTGTCAGACTGGCTCAGTTCTTAGCTCGGCCACAAGGCTGGAGAGGGCTAGAAGAGGTGATATTATTGTCGCTTAGCTTCCGTATTTTTTTAAACTTTCTTCACGTTTTAAATCACTGAATTTTCGCATTTTGGGTGGTGGCTTACGGGAGGGTCAACTGTACCAACGAAACTATCGCGACATAGCTCCTCTATTATTTCCTTGTTCATGCTTGAAGACTTTGTATGATGTTGCTATTGTTGTTGAAGTTTCTGAAGTCCTGCTAAGCTGGTTTTCAACTTTTTAAGTATCTCGTTCAGTCTCAGCTCCCTACCAACGAAAAACAAGTTAAATAACATGCAAACTGTACATACCATCACTCTGAAAGGAAGCTTTTGCTTGCTGAGTCGCTGGAGGCTTATATTTACATAAGTCACCTGGCAGTGTGTTTCAGTGGTTTGTAGTTTAATTCTCCTGTGATTTCTGATAATTTCTGTGTTATGCAAGGTTCTACGTTTGCTTCCTGGCCCTGCAGTTGAAGAAATTCAGCGGCTTCCTCCTGGTCTTCAGAAAAGTAAGAATGTATTAAAAAACCGTTCATTTTTCCAAAGCGGAATTACCCATGTTTTGCATTGTTCACCACATTTTATTATGACACGCTACTGAGGCCCTGTCAAAACGTATCCGGATATTTTGAAAACGAATATTTTTTCTCCATTTTCAAAAAATACCCGTTCACACGTAACGTATTTGAATCGTTTTCGTCCGTCCACACGAAAGCGCTAAAACGATGGAAATATGATAACATGCGTAATGCTAGTGGTATATGATGTATTACATCATCGTATTCGAAAACCTTAATTTTCGTCTGTCCACACGTAAACGAGAAGCCGGCGTTTTCAAAATCTCCCCTCTGGGGCGTGTTTTAACCTGCGTTATTGGTGCTCTGAAAACGACGTTTACGTGTGCACGGAAGGCTAATACGAAGAAAAAAATCTTCGTTTTGAAAAATATCTGGATTCTTGTGGACGGCGTCTAAAATGTTTAACATTTTTCTCTACTCTTGTATTAAAGGGGCACCCACAAGTACAGACAGTTCAATGGAAGGACCTTCCAAAGTAACTCTTATTTATTTTATCGGGGGCTGTACTCACGCCGAGATATCTGCTTTGAGGTTCCTCGCACGACAGGATAACAGTAAGTTTATCGAAGATCATTCGTTGAATACTTCAGTACTGTTCTTACGTGAGTTCGACTTTACGCTGAAAAAAGATCCTATCGTACGAATTACACGCGCAACTCCAGAACATAAGATTGATGCTAACAGTTATTATTTAAAGTATTAACTATATAACAAAATTCTCCAGTTTGATTGGCTTTGAGAAACCCTAATTCCGTGAATAGGGCCTAATGTTGAACGCTTTATCGCGTGAACTAAAACAAGCACGTTGCACGCGAGTGCTTTTTTTCTTTGTCTGGGCATCAATCTCAAGGGGGGAGGCGGGTGGAGGGGGTTGTGTATTACTGTTCGAATGGACTTGAAGTATGCCCCTTTTTTAGTCCGTGAACAGAAACGCGCAAAATAAAAATATTGGCCTAAGTGCGTTCATTCACCGTACTCAGCGTGTAAACGGCGTTCATTCCCTGCACTAATCTGAAGAAAAATTGGACTGGTCGCAGTTTACTGTCTGAATGTTTTTTTTTCTCTCCAATTTTGGTAATGTTGTGATTAACTGGTAACAGAACCTCGTGTCATCGAATTCTGCTTATAATCATACTTGTGATTAAATAAATCAAGCAAGTGTGACTTGTATAATTACAGACCCAGCTGGACTCTGGTCAGTCAGGTTAGCGTTATAAATAACCGGAAAAAAAGCACTCTCTGGTTCGTGTCTTTTTTCCTTGGCGAGGTGGCTGGCGCTGTACTCTCCTGCCTGGGATGAGTTTTATTTGATTATTACCTCGTTTATTTTGCTGTTTTAGGCCCCACAGACTACTTGATAGCAACCACAAAGATTATTAACGGCAAGACATTGATCGAGTCCATTATGGAGGAGGGTGGAGCCCACGGTGGGAACCCTTTTACGTAACACTGGCCATTCAAATTGGCAATTTGGACTGCTTATTCCTTCCTTTCTGAGCGGCTTTACAGTGATTTTATCTATCTTCCTTAACTACAAAGGTGTACTCTACAAATTGGTTAAAGACGGTCACGTGCCCTCAGTTTAGTGGGTTCTTACAACTCGGGGGGATTTCCACTGTTGCGCAATTTTTACGTGCGTGTTTTTTGTTTTCGCGTGACCTTTAGTACATTGCCTCTATTTTATTTACGAGCGTAAAATTTACCTGCCTACTCTCGTAAAAAGTAAGCGACAGTTAAAATCAACCTTTACACGCTTTGAGCGTTCTGAAGACGTCTTGTTTTCAAGGCAAACCCTCATTGATCGCGAGCGGAGAATGGTCTGAATAGAGGCACCAAGACTACTTGGCCATTGAACTTATTTTGAGTAGGTTAGATAGGACAGAAGTAGATCCCTTAGAAGTTACTTTAGCTGTACTTAAGCGAGCCTGTTCCGGGCGTTCATATGGTGGAGTGTCGCGCGACGTCAGAGAGAGAGCAGGAGAGGAGGAGAGAGTGGGGAACTCTCCCCCTTCCCCCAGCCTCTCGCCTATCTTTCTGCTCACCTCTGTTTGCGTAGTCTTCTGTCGGAACGCCTGAAACAGGTTATACTTAAGCTTTATTAACTAGCAGGCTCCTCGAGCGGGAAAGATCGGGTGAATCCTGTTTTTCTGATTAGCTACCCCTGCGGGCAAGATGGGTCTTTGTTGCCCGCTCGGCTCGGGAATCCCCGCTTTAGTCCCCCAAGAAAAAGTAAATCCCTTATTGAGTAGGTACTTAGGCTGCATTGGTTATGCAAAATGAAAAATTTTTATAAATATTGTAAATAATATTGCGTACACATTACAAAGAATATTTCAGGTAAGAAAGCTACCAATGTAGTAATTATGTCAAAATAAAAGTAGAGGAGATTTCTAGTCTAGTAAGAGAAGAGGAACCTAAATCTTAACTATAAAATACCATTTTATAGTTAATCGCCAAATTCGCAGTTTTTTAAAGGGGTTGGCCCAAGATTTTGGTGAATAAATTTTTTTTCGAAGTTATTTTTTCCACAAAATAGGCCAAGAAATCATGTTCAGGGATCTACTATAGAGAACAGGAGCCTAAATCTTGACCATAAAGAAACATTTCTAGATCATCGAAAAATTCGTATTTTTTTCAAAGGGCTCAGCCAATGATTTTCGCCAAAAATATCAAATCTCTCCAGTTTGGGTTTCGACAAAATAGGCCAAGGGGATTAGAGATCTTTTGGAGACAAAAAAACATTTATAGTCTATAAAAATATCATTGGAAAAATGGCCATTTTTGGACCAAAACATGGGTTAACCCCTTTGCAAAAATCTCAATTTTTCGACTTTTAAAACTTCCTGTTTTTATAGCCCAGAAAGGCGTTTTTTCTTTCTAGAATATCGTAAAAGACATTTTCCTGGCCTATATTGCCTAAAAAAAAAGTTGCAAAATGGCCATTTTTAGACCAAAACCATGGGTTAACCCCTTTGGAAAAATCTCAATTTATCGACTTTTTAAACTTCTTGTTTTTATAGCCTAAAAACGCGCTTTTTCGTTCTAGAATGTCGTAAAAGACATTTTCCTGGCCTATATTGCCTAAAAAAGAAAGTTGGCAAAATGGTCATTTTTAGACCAAAACCATGGGTTAACCCCTTTGAAAAAATCTCAATTTTTCGACTTCTTAAACTTCTTGTTTTTATAGCCTAGAAAGGCGTTTTTTCGTTCTAGAATATCGGAAAGGACATTTTCCTGGCCTATATTGCCTAAAAAAAAAAAGTTGGAAAAATGGCCATTTTTGGACCAAAACCATGGGTTAACCCCTTTGGAAAAATCTCAATTCGTCGACTGTTTGAACTTCTTGTTTTTATAGCCTTGAAAGGCGTTTTTTCGTTCTAGAATATCGTAAAAGACATTTTCCTGGCCTATATTGCCTAAAAAAAAAGTTGGAAAAATGGTCATTTTTGGACCAAAACCATGGGTTAACCCCTTTGCAAAAATCTCAATTTTTCGACTTTTTAAACTTCTTGTTTTTATAGCCTAGACAGGAGTTTCTTCGTTCTAGAATATCGTAAAAGACATTTTCCTGGCCTATATTGCCTAAAAAAGAAAGTTGGCAAAATGGCCATTTTTAGACCAAAACCATGGGTTAACCCCTTTGAAAAAATCTCAATTCTTCGACTTTTTGAACTTCTTGTTTTTATAGCCTAAAAACGCGCTTTTTCTTTCTAGAATGTCGTAAAAGACATTTTCCTGGCCTATATTGCCTAAAAACGAGAGTTGGCAAAATGGCCATTTTTAGACCAAAACCATGGGTTAACCCCTTTGAAAAAATCTCAGTTTATGGCTTTTTTAAACTTCTTGTTTTTATAGCCTAAAAACGCGCTTTTTCTTTCTAGAATGTCGTAAAAGACATTTTCCTGGCCTATATTGCCTAAAAACGAGAGTTGGCAAAATGGCCATTTTTGGACCAAAACCATGGGTTAACCCCTTTGCAAAAATCTCAATTTATCGACTTTTTTAACTTCTTGTTTTTATAGCCTAGAAAGGCGTTTTTTCGTTCTAGAATATCGTAAAAGACATTTTTCTGGCCTATATTGCCTAAAAAAAAAAGTTGGAAAAATGGCCATTTTTGGACCAAAACCATGGGTTAACCTTTGCAAAAATCTCAATTTTTCGACTTTTTAAACTTCTTGTTTTTATAGCCTAAAAAGGCGTTTTTTTCTTTCTAGAATATCGTAAAAGACATTTTCCTGGCCTATATTGCCTAAAAAAAAAAAAGTTGGCAAAATGGCCATTTTTTGGGCCAAAACCATGGGTTAACCCCCTTGGAAAAATCTCAATTGATCGACTTTTTGAACTTCTTGTTTTTATAGCCTAGAAAGGCGTTTTTTCGTTCTAGAATATCGTAAAAGACATTTTCCTGGCCTATACTGTCTAAAAAAAAAAAAGATGGAAAAATGGCCATTTTTGGACCAAAACCATGGGTTAACCCCTTTGGAAAAATGTCAATTGATCGACTTTTTGAACTTCTTGTTTTTATAGCCTAGAAAGGAGTTTTTTCGTTCTAAAATATACTAAAAGACAGTTTCCTGGCCTATATTGCCTAAAAAAACAAAGCTTGGAAAAATGGCCATTTTTCGACCATAACCATGGGTTAACCTCTTTGGAAAAATCTCAGTTTATGGCTTTTTTAAACTTCTTGTTTTTATAGCCTACAAAGGCGTTTTTTCGTTCTAGCATATCGTAAAGGACATTTTCCTGGCTTATATTGCCTAAAAAAAAAAAGTTGCAAAAACGGCCATTTTTGGACCAAAACCATGGGTTAACCCCTTTGGAAAAATCTCAGTTCGTCGACTGTTTGAACTTCTTGTTTTTATATCCTTGAAAGGCGTTTTTTTGTTGTAGAATATCGTAAAAGACATTTTCCTGGCCTATATTGCCTAAAAAGAAAAGTTGGAAAAATGGCCATTTTTGGACCAAAACCATGGGGGAACCCCTTTGCAAAAATCTCAATTTTTCGACTTTTTAAACTTCTTGTTTTTATAGCCTAGAAAGGCGTTTTTTCGTTCTAGAATATCGTAAAAGACATTTTCCTGGCCTATATTGCCTAACAAAAAAAAAGTTGGCAAAATGGCCATTTTTTGGGCCAAAACCATGGGTTAACCCCCTTGGAAAAATCTCAATTGATCGACTTTTTGAACTTCTTGTTTTTATAGCCTAGAAAGGCGTTTTTCCGTTCTAGAATATCGTAAAAGACAGTTTCCTGGCCTATATTGCCTAAAAAAGAAAGTTGGCAAAATGGCCATTTTTAGACCAAGACCATGGGTTAACCCCTTTGAAAAAATCTCAATTCTTCGACTTTTTGAACTTCTTGTTTTTATAGCCTAAAAACGCGCTTTTTCTTTCTAGAATGTCGTAAAAGACATTTTCCTGGCCTATATTGCCTTAAAAAGAAAGTTGGCAAAATGGCCATTTTTAGACCAAAACCATCGGTTAACCTTTTTGAAAAAATCTGAGTTTTTGGACTTTTTAAACGGCTTGTTTTTATAGCCTAGAAAGGCGTTTTTTCGTTCTAGCATATCGTAAAGGACATTTTCCTGGCCTATATTGCCTAAAAAAAAAAAGTTGGAAAAATGGCCATTTTGGACCAAAACCATGGGTTAACCCCTTTGGAAAAATCTCAATTCGTCGACTGTTTGAACTTTCTGTTTTTATAGCCTTGAAAGGCGTTTTTTTGTTCTAGAATATCGTAAAAGACATTTTCCTGGCCTATATTGCCTAAAAAGAAAAGTTGGAAAAATGGCCATTTTTGAACCAAAACCATGGGTTAACCCCTTTGCAAAAACCTCAATTTTTCGAATTTTCAAACTTCTTGTTTTTATAGCCTAGAAAGGCCTTTTTTCGTTCTAGAATATCGTAAAAAACATTTTCCTGGCCTATATTACCTAAAAAACAAAACTTGGAAAAATAGCCATTTTTTGACCAAAACATTGGTTAACCCCTTTGCAAAAATCTCAATTTTTTGACTTTTTAAACTTCTTGTTTTTATAGCCTAGAAAGAAGTTTTTTCGTTCTAGAATATTGTAAAAGACATTTTCCTGGCCTATATTGCCTAAAAAAAAAAAAGTTGGAAAAATGGCCATTTTTTGGACCAAAACTATGGGTTAACCCCTTTGGAAAAATCTCAATTTATCGTCTTTTTGAACTTCTTCTTTTTATAGCCTAGAAAGGCGTTTTTTCGTTCTAGAATATCGTAAACGACATTTTCCTGGCCTATATTGCCTAAAAAAGAAAGTTGGCAAAATGGCCATTTTTGGACCCAAATCATGGGTTAACCCCTTTGAAAAAATCTCAGTTTTTCGACTTTTTAAACTTCTTGTTTTATAGCCTAGAAAGGCGTTTTTTCGTTCTAGCATATCGTAAAGGACATTTTCCTGGCCTATATTACCTAAAAAAAAAAGGTTGGAAAAATGGCCATTTTTGGACCAAAACCATGGGTTAACCCCTTTGGAAAAATCTCAATTCGTCGACTGTTTGAACTTCTTGTTTTTATAGCCTCGCAGGCGTTTTTTTGTTCTAGAATATCGTAAAAGACATTTTCCTGGCCTATATTGCCTAAAAAAGAAAGTTGGAAAAATGGCCATTTTTAGACCAAAACCATGGGTTAACCCCTTTGAAAAAATCTGAGTTTTTCGACTTTTTAAACGTCTTGTTTTTATAGCCTAGAAAGGCGTTTTTTCGTTCTAGAATATCGTAAAAGACATTTTCCTGGCCTATATTGCCTAAAAAAAAAAAGTTTGAAAAATGGCCATTTTTGGACGAAAACCATGGGTTAACCTCTTTGGAAAAATCTCAGTTTATCGCCTTTTTAAACTTCTTGTTTTTATAGCCTAGAAAGGCGTTTTTTCGTTCTAGAATGTCGTAAAAGACATTTTCCTGGCCTATATTGCCTAAAAAAAGAAAGTTGGCAAAATGACCATTTTTAGACCAAAACCATGGGTTAACCCCTTTGAAAAAATCTGAGTTTTTCGAATTTTTAAACGTCTTGTTTGTATAGCCTAGAAAGGCGTTTTTTTGTTCTAGCATATCGTAAAGGACATTTTCCTGGCCTATATTGCCTAAAAAAAAAGTTGGAAAAATGGCCATTTTTGGACGAAAACCATGGGTTAACCCCTTTGGAAAAATCTCAATTCGTCGACTGTTTGAACTTCCTGTTTTTATAGCCTCGAAAGGCGTTTTTTTGTTCTAGAATATCGTAAAAGACATTTTCCTGGCCTATATTGCCTAAAAAAGAAAGTTGGCAAAATGGTCATTTTTAGACCAAAACCATG